AATTGATAGTAAGATAGTATTGAAATATTTTGCTCAGCTTGGAGATACTATTGCGAGTTGATTACAGAATCGATTAATATATTAGAGATGAATAATTGATAGTAAGATTGTATTCAAATAGTTTTCTCAGTTTGCAAGTAGCATTGCGAGCTAATTAGATGACTGATTAATGCATGAAAAATGAATAATTGAAATCGTCAGGTTTATATTCAGTTATGCTAATGTTTTGTTACATGCGGTTTGTAAACTGTGTTGACAAGTAGAATCTCGGGGAAGATAACTAAACGGTAAGCTTCTGGATTAAGTGATCTTTATGGCCATTGATCTTGACTTGATTTCCTACGGTTCCGGCCATACTGGCTGTAGCTATCAACACCAAGGCGATCAAACAGATTGATGGGTTAATATTTTGCATTGTTCTACGGCGCTTGTGACGAAAGTGGTTGATGAATATAACCAAGTGATGTGTAAATGATGTGTCTCTTCAGCTGTGCTTCGATTTTATATATACATTAATCACCATAGGAGTAATCTATGAGAAAAATTTACTTTTTCATAAATTGAGAGATACGGATATCTTTTTTCTTGCAATGATAACCCGTATGGCTGTGGGTAGTACCTTATCTTTATTTTATTTAGTTAAATAAAGAACCTCAGCTTTGCTTTATTTGACCTGGCAAAGAAACTTTGGTCTACTTTATACTTTAATTTTTTCAAAGCAAAATAAAGATAAAGCACCGCCTCTATATGTGACCTATTTTTTATGCACTTTGTCGAAATAGTGTACAGTAAGGAAAATCAGTCCTCTAGAAAAAAAAAATGACTTATTCACTGTCCCGCCGGTGCTACTACATATCCAGTGAGATTTTCTATTAGAACTAGATCTTCTAGGTACATTACGACCACATTCGACTCTATCTAAAATCAACAGTGATGTATTGAGGATGTGGATGTGCATTATGTTTAAGAAATGCTATGGCTATCGTTTCAACCTTTCTCAAGGATCAATCATCAAGTCACTTAATTACTAAATTATTTTATAGATTGAATTGCAAAAGGTAATAATTAAATAATAAGTACATAGATGTAACTCGGAGGATCCATCTAGGCGTGCTGAATACAGTTCCAGCGAAGGATGTTTTGGGCCGAGGAATTCAACAGGTTCTCTGAATCAGAAGTGAAACTTGCGATAAAGGCGGTCACAAGCGTAAGAAAACTGCTTTGTGCTTTTTTTCTCAAGTTATATACTGATACAGCTTGCATCTATTCAATTATTGACTGTAGATCCTTCAGATGGTTAACATTACTAACTTTTCTTGATGCATTGATGTATTCATGAATTTTTTTATTAGAATAGATAACATATATAAAGATCTCTCACAATAGAGGCAAGCATAAATGAATTGTATAGTATGCAACAAAGCTTTTGAGTTCATTCAATTGTACAGTTGATGATTTCACCGTTAGAGATGTGAATGCGAAAACGCGCACGCTCGAAAAGTCGTCAATATGTATTATTTGTTCAGCCAATTTTGGAGCTTTCGAAATAGCTTCGATAAGAAACTCTTTGATATCGAAGAAAAACGTTTACTCACTAATAGAAATAGGAATTCTTTTGATTCCGACCTTGCAACTCCAGAGCTCTACTAAAGTATACTTTGGTTACGTTATTAACTTAGTAGGCTTTGAGAAAACTGTTTCGTCGAATGGAACATTGTCATACAATTCATCATATACAAGCTGAAACGGACATTCCCAGTCAGAGCGGTACGTGTCCTGTAAGGCGCTCGGTCAACTCTATCGGATAGTTCGGCAATAACTTTGCCTAATCTAGAATCAATAACGATTGTTCTTTTCACAAAACCTTCAGCAACACAACCAATCGGATGTGGGATGTGAATGTAGGAGTTCACTTCATTTGCATCTATACGCATACCCATGCATCCTCCAGATATAAAATTAGAGCTGATGTATTATGTTTTATATTTTTGTTCTATGAGAATTGTTCCTATAGATTTTATTAAAACAGAAAATAGTTATCTACGAAATAGAATTGTTTTTCATCAATATAACAATGCATAAAATATATATAATAAGAAAATTGATCAATTGGGATTCTATAGCATAATACCTATTTAGTTTCGAAACCATGTTTTGCCACTTGATAATGACCATAATATTGATTTACCGTACCTAAATTTTTCAGTAAAGAAGTCGTGAACTTCTGTTTGTATCTGTGGCCAAAATCCATCATTTTCCATCACTACATAAGACCATCCCAATAATTTCTTACTATTTAATGATTTCATAATGCCAAACAGTAAAGAACCTATACCTTTTTTTGGTTTCTCTATTTCAAGTCATCGGTTAATATACTCTACACTATTCACCATTGCAGTCAGTCCAACGTTACCATAATAGTGAATACCATTTTCTTTTTTTATTTCTTAATTGTAGCTCTATAATATATAGTCACTTTGTTGTTAATTATAAAATTTGACAGCTTCGACTCAAAACGTTAGGCCTGATGAGGTAGGAACAAATAGAACACGGCATAATGTGTTCCACATATTATTTCGAAATATTTGCTTGCCATAAATCCCACTTTATTAAATTACAAAACATGTGGCATTCGAGTTTTAGTTACTAAGTAGATATTAGCCAAAGATTTTTCCGACGTTGACCATCGAAAGTCGAATATAAAGATTATGGCAGATGACAAAGAAATTTTCGTTTGCAAGTGTAATACAATCGTTACTCCACTGATCTTAATTTAGAATTATGAGTTCAACAAAATCAGGCACACCATGACTCTTTGAGATCATTTTTTTCGATTGAAACATGTTTAAACAGATTTTAGCGCAGTATAATCATTTATCAAGTCCCCAACTATGCGAATTATTGATTCTGAATGTGTACGAATTGCCACTATGATGAATTCAAATATGTGGCCTAATAAAAAAAGACTATCCTATCGAACATTATAACTGACCTTTAGTAAATTATGAAATTCTTGCATGACTGCTTGTCGACTTTCGTCAGAACCATTTCATGGATTTGTACAAACAAGTGCAATAAGGATAATCTCCAAATAAATTCATCATTGGCAAACAAACCGGGAGATACACATAGTAGGACACACGTTGGCTTTTTCTGTCGAAAAATATCAACGATAGATGAATTCCACGTTGTATTCCAAATATTAATTTGAAATTGCTGAGCAGATGTCATCTTGAAAATATTTCAAGATACTCTGACTCATGATCGTGTACATACAAGAGTTGAAAACAATATTCATTATTATGGTGACATTGGTCTCTGCACACAAGTTAATTCGATTGATTACGCCATAGACGATGTTAAAAAAACTGAAAGGTGTCGACGATTTAATGATGGGCGTTATGAATTCATTGACTCATGAAAAACTGTTATAATGGTGTTTTTCGATACGAACCAATGCTCCATTCTTGGCTAGAACACAAAGACAGATTTGGGAATTATATTTTTCTTTCAACGTTCGATTGGTTATTGATATTTCTCTAGTTAAGCTGAAAAATATGTTCATTTTCAACAGGGTGTGAGAGTGGGTGCGCGTTTTAGTATTCATTTATATATATATCATTCATATTTGCTTATTTGATATCTTCTAAAATTGTTCAATATTAATCAATTTGAAAAAGATGGCGCATTCATAATAAACATTTTTTCGATGCATCTTGTGAAAGTGGTGCAGGTATGATGAAATTAGTGTTGTCACGCATGGCATAATTGAAATAATGGATCCAATCAGAAATAGATAGAGACGCCGTGATGTTTCGATAAAAAGTGATGTAAATGAAATGATCAAACTTAGTAATACTAGAATAATTAGGACAGGAGGACTAATGACTGAATATTTGTAGGAATCAGTATGTGGGTGGGTTTTCTCTCCCAGATAGTCACTCCGTCAATCCTCACCCAAGACCAGAATCACAAGCACACCCACAGCTAACCTCCGATAATTAAACAAAACTCTTGGTTTCAGTATTTCACATCGCCAGTACTCCCATGTTATATTAGCGATTGACTAAGTCTATTGATCAACAGCATCTTCTCCATTGCTATCAAAACAAACAAATTTTTATCAAAGTTGTTTTCTTCATTATTTACTATTCATCAATCATATTAACTTGTTATCGTTTTATTGTTTTATTCATTATTTTCATCAAAAGGGCATTCGTCTCATATCTATAAAAAATGTTAACTGGGAAAATTTTATTCTTTATTTATGGGCAAAGATGAGAATATGAAAATGGGTCGTTTCATTCTTGATATTTAAAAGCTATGAATGAGTGTGAATCATCATATTTATTTATTGATTTACGTTTACTCTTTTCGAATAGACTGACGAGTAGAATACAATTTAGAGTAAGATCATTATGCTAACTTAGAATTCGACATATTTATATATGTTTGAGGGCTAAAAACTCTCTGAAATATTTTACAATAACAGCAGTCGCAAAATGACTTCGTATATCAAGTTCTATGAAAAAAAATATAGAAAAAAGTAGAGAAGAAACATGTGTAAAGATATATATATATATAAAGAACGGAAAGTGTATGTATGCATATATTAATATTTGTATGTAGGAGCAGAACATGACTCATTATGTTGCAAAACTGTTGCGGATCCAGACTACGATAAATGTAGAGAGAAAAAGAAAAATACTCCCATTGTGGATTTTTTCGTATTGGGAAAAAACGTTTTCATCTCTTATTGAGAATATAAATAGAGATACAGCGAAGAGAGTTCTTCATTCAATTGTGATCAACACAAAAAAGACTTCCAAAGCAAAAGAAATCGAACAGAACTAACGAAACAACAAGTAAGTCATTAATATTTACTTAAGCGGGAGGAGAAATTGATAAAAATGAGTGATTTTGTTTCTTTGATAGATTTCAACGATAAAAATTCTGTCACAAACAATAAAATTCACGAGTAATCAAAAAAGTGTAAAGCCATGCATGTAAGTGATTGAGCAATATCTCAAACGTATCTTTCTATAATTCAATCTTTCTTTCTAGAAACCTATCGATCAACAAACAAATGCTCTTGCCTCATTAACACTGACTACACCGAAGGAGCAGAGTACAACTCCAAAGTTAGCTCAGCCGTCAAGAATAGTACCCCAACAAGTGGATGAGGATTCTGATGACGTCATCTACACCAATCACTTCCCTTGCTCATTCGCCAATAACCTTTCTTTTTATCAGTACGATGTCATCGTCGAAGAATATCATGAAAAACAAAATAAATATATCAACATTTCCAGCCGTGAAAAACGTCGTCGATTTGTTTGTGATATGCTCCTAGACAAAACAGTTCACCCAACAGCAGTATGTTGGTACGATGAAGGAAATTGTATTTACAGTACAACAGATTTCAAGGACAAATGTCCAATGATACATGAAAGAGAAGAACAAGGATATCAGCGTCGTTTAACAATAAAAAGTCTATCAGACACAAGAAGTACCAACGAGTTAGATCAATCTTCGATTCGCATTATTGAAACATTGATTAAACAAGTGCTAAAAGATCAGTTCAAAGCAATTGGTTCAGTCTTCTACCGATGGGATGAAAAACCAGATCAAGATGGACCCTATGATCTCCTTACAGGCTTCAGACAGGCTGTGTGTCTCACAGAATCAGGTCCAACCTTGAATGTGGATACTACGATTACTCGTTTCTATCCCGAAGTTGATCTTTTAACATTTATTTGGGAAAGATTGCTACAAAACAAATCTCCATGTCATGAATTCCTGTCAGATCGACAATACGATCAAATTGGTAATCGTTTGAAAGATATTGAAGTGACAACAGTTCAGTCAGATTATCAAAATAGATATGTTCTCACTGGAAATTTTTCGGATCTTCCCAGAAAAATTTTCATGGAAGGACGAGGTCATCTCCTAGATTACTACAAGGATCTTGGATTTGAGCTTCATTATCCAAAGTTGTACTGCTTGAAAGCCCATTCAGCAGGTAATCCACAAAATTTAGTGGATCTACCGATTGAACTTTGCTATCTTCGAGAGTGGCAAATGGTGAAGGAAGATGAAAACACGAAACCTGTTCCAGCACCACCAGTCAGTAAACGATATGATTCAATCTTAGGAGCTATCAGAAGCTGCAATTTCCACGATGATAAATTATGTAAAGAAATTCAACTAGAAGTCAGTTGTGAGGCAATGATGCCAGTTCCTTATGAAACTCTAAGAAAACGTCAAATTACTCTTAGTCGACAAGGTGCTTTTACAAATCCAATTCCAATTCATAAGATGGCATTCATATATCTAGCAGAACGTCAACAGCCAAATGCGAAACAAGTACAGAAAAAATTACTGAACAATTTCTACGATGTAAGCTGTATATTTTCCCAATCATAATTCCGAATATTATTTACTTCTACTATTTCTAACAGGCCGCTAATTGGCAAAGAATGGAGTTGCCTAAGTATCATGACGAATATGAAATTTTTGCTAACAGAAATCTAAAAAGTGAACTCCGAAATTGTTTGTCTGAGCTCAAAAGCAAGCAGTGCCAATTCATTCTCTGCCTTGAAAACTGTCGAGATCCAGGAGTACACGAACTTTTCAAACAAATTGCATGCATCGAATTCGGTTAGTCAATTTTTAATCATCAATTATGACATCACGATAGACTCTCACTCTCACTCTGTTCAGGTCTTGTTACTCAATGTGCTAACTTTACAAAAGTTCAACGAATAGCAAATTTAAGAAAGTATTGCGGTAATCTTCTAAAATCAGTAAATGCTAAACTAAGTGGCGAAAATAAACAAGTAGCTCAACTTCAAACGTCTATTAAAACAATGTTTATCGGGGCTGACGTCCTACACCCCAAGAATAATTATTCTGGTGAATTACCATCAATTGCAGCTGTTGTTGCAAGTATGAATTCTGAGTGTACATTAACAAATCAACGTATCTGTCGTCAATGGCCAATTAAATGGAAACAATCAGAAGAGGCAATTTTGTTGTTGAAAGAAATGACTGAAGAGCTGTTAATCGCATTCAAAGACAGCAATAACGGCTCTCTGCCAGAACATGTTGTTGTCTATCGCGATGGAGTTGATGATGGACAACTCAAACGTGTACAAGATGAAGAGGTGGCTGCTTTGATGAACGCCTTTCAAGGTAAAGAGCAAGCTTTTATTCTAGCTACATAGACGAGACCCAAGGGCGAAATCTTTTTCAAGTTTGTCGACTTAGTATTTGGTGAAAAAAAAATGGGCTTCTCTCTCTCTTCCGCACAAATCCGTACTTGCTATTCGAGTCACGAGCAGAATTATGTAACACAGTTGCGTTCTTGTTTCTTCTTTGTAGTATTCGTAGTTTACTTTCAGACATTTACGCGTACTCTGTTAAGATTTCTCTTTCTTTTTCTAGTTATCTATCCAACAAATGTATCATCTCCTCTTCTAACGTTTATCGTGGTAAAAAAACGTCACCACACCCGCCTCTTTCGACTGTTGTCGTCGACAGATATTACCAATGTTGAATCTGGCGTTGTTGTTGATACTTCCATCGTTAATTCGAATCCAAACTATCTCAATTTCTTGCTGAATTCACATGAACCAGGTTTAGGAACCAATAGAATTGGGAATTATGTTGTTCTGACTAATGGAATTGGATATTCATTGAGTGAATTAGAGGAACTGACTTACTCTCTTTGTCATATTGATCAGCGTATTGATGATCGATTGAGTGAATCAATTCCAAGTGTTTTGCATTTGGCAGATGCTGCAGCAAGCAAGGCGAGACAGTTGTTTGACAATAATACGAGGTAAGGAAGTGACAAATTCTTTCATTTTAGGCTGCAATCAATAAGGCCATTTTCTCTTTTCAGACCACCAAATGGAAATCGAGCAGAGATACTGAGAGTTCATGAGCATATGCAAGATGCACCAAATATGTTTTAAATTTAAAGCTTTTTTATTTACTACTTTCTTGGTTATTTAATCCAGAACGATGCTATACTTAAATAAATAATTAACAGTTTGAAGACTTTTTAACATTAGCCTACCGAAACATCAGGGTGTTTGTAAATCAATTCAAAAAATGAATAGTTTCAAGCAATGTGGAATTGAATGGCTTATAGTCGTTACGTAGTTGCAATATTTTGAACTTTGTGATAACCATGTTGAAAAAGAAATTCAGTTAGAATATCAAATAACTCTTCTTGTGGCAACATCGTAGATAAATCTTAAAAAAATAGCCACGTAGAATAAGCTTATGATACTTCAGATAGCTCATGCGGTTCTTCGTGTGAATGTAAATGTGAGCGAGGAAAACACTGATACCTATAAACATCGGCACCATTTGTAGTTACTGAGATAATACTGTACTGACTGTTGATTAAATGAAAATAAAACTACTATTGTTGTTACTGTTGAACTCTTATTGAACTTGTCAACACCAGCCAAATTAAATCTATTTCAAATATGGAAACTATGAGCGATGGATCGTTTATTTTGAAATTAACTTCCTTAGATGGAACATCACCGAATTCACTTGAATCGTTTACTCAAAAGACAAAATAGATAAGAACACGCTTCAGAATCAGGAAAATATCGGAATTGTCAATTGCGTTCAGTCAATGCTGGTCATCGCCAGCAGATCCATTGGAATATAGGCCATACATTCTTTGAAATCGTTTTTGTAAATTATTTTGTTGTATAATACATTCAACTTTCACTTACATACGACTAATTCAAATCTACACGAACATTCTTTGGATTATACAAGTTTTCAATAATGTTGCACTTTGACTGAATTTTATTTGAGAAAAACTCTTAGCGTTCACAAAACATGAATTAAATAATACGCATTTGTTAAATTTTAGCTGAAAAAGATAACAGGTTAAACCTGACGAATTTGAAACCAATGATGCAAAGCACCGTGAATAAGAAAGAAGTTAGAGTAGATGGCAATAGACGAATAAAAATAAATGAAGAGAGAAGGCACTAAAAAGTGCAAAAAGACGGTTCCATGTACGTCTCTCAGTGCTGTCCATTAAAAACGAAATCGGATGCAAAGTAGAGAAATTGTTTACTTTAAAGTCGATAAATTTCAATTCCGAATCTCGATGCCAGACTGCGGTAGTGAACTGAAAGTGACTGATCCAGAGCCGATCGCAGTAACCGAGAATTTTCCCATGATATTACTCCTTTTTGTTGTCACAACCATGATATACTTATTCCCAGCAATGAGAGACACTTTGAGCTTAAACTGGTTTTCTTCGCTACTATCATCAATTGAAGGAATTAAATTTTGATTCGGTTTTAACTCATCAAAAGTTTTGTTGTAGATATCAGCATACGTTGCCATACTACCATTGCTCACGAAATGATACCTGCCATTCATGGACACACTAATTTGCAATGCTTCATAATAGAAGTCCAGTGACTCTCGACATTTCTTATCACGACGGCAATATTTTGAACTACTTGAAGTTAATGACGACGAATAATTGTAGTAACTCCCAGGTGCGGTCGCTATTTGACAGAGAGAAAAAAGTCAATATTCACTAAGTTAGTAGATAATCTGAAGTAATTTCGAATGTATAATACTGTTGAAAAAGAAGAATGATTTCCTTTTCAAATCTCACCATTAAAAAAATCGAAATGATACTTAGGTTTATCTGAAAATTATTCGAATGAATCCCAAAAAAGAGCTTCATTTCAGGTCTATTATGTACCGCAACATTATACTATGCGAAACGTCTACACTAGGCAAACATTGTTTAGCAACTTTATTTCTTACTTGATGGTCTTGCTGTCGTTTTTTTTGTCGTTCTTGCTGTCGTTTTTTTTGTCGTTCTTTTTGTCGTTTTTGTAGGTGTCCGATGAGTGGTCGTCGAATGAAAGTTTACGAATTTTGGGTCCGATACATCGATTGAAAATGATCCCCTCACATTTGGTATGAACGTTGTTATAACCAGTACATATGTTTCCCAAGGCTGAAGATTAATTTTGAGCTGAAACTGCCTCTTTTTACCACTGTCATTATCTTCCGCAAGTAAATTCAAATGAGGATTGGCTGGATTGAAACTACTATTGTAGATATAGCCATATGTATCAATATTACTCTCGCTAGTGAACTTGTATTTGCCAGCTTTGGTCACGGTCACTGTTAGTACATCGTAGTAGAATTGCCATCGGATGCATGTAGTACGACAGTAAGTTGGACTATTCGCGGTAAGCGATGATGAATACTTGGGTTTGTTAGTTGATACAGGTTTTCCTATTTGTCGAAAAATAAAAGTGATCGAATCTTGCATGCTTAGTAGATCAATGAAAATGAAAACACTGTACTAATTCGAATCAGAAAGTAGAAAGAATTCCTCTTTCAGAGAATTCATTTTTAAGACATACGCGACCACCGTTGTATTATGGTGGTTGTTTAAAATGAGAGCAGAACGATTCACGGAACAATTTTAGCGTCGTGTCTTAAAATTAAATATTATCTAATTTCATTGTAGAATAATCTAGGAATTTAACACTTTAACCGATATTTATCTGTTTAGGGACAAGAACTGATAATGCCCGAGGTATAGGACATGTTCAACAGCTTTCATATTCGTCAAATATACTGATCTATTGCAGTATTTTATGATCAACGTATCAATTTCATTATTTTTTAAAATTTTTAATCCTGCTAGCAGAAACGAATGGTATTGAATATAATTAAAAACTCATAGAAAGTGAGGTGTTGTGATCACTTAAAATGCTGACAGATCTGTAAGGTAGCTATAATAATGCTGCTTTTAAAATGACCTCCATCTTTTTGCTGAGTTGATATATACTTATGAATATGTGCAGAAAAATACGGAAAGAGTTCGAAAGGAAAATATTCTACATGGAGCAGAAACAAAGACAGATGATGTATTCGTTGAAAGCCTATTATAATACTTACGTAAGTTAAAACCGATGATGAGTCCACATATTATCGAAGTAATCAATATTATAACTATGAGTATAGTACCGAGTTGACATCGAAATGAACAGCATTGACCCGATCTATGGTTATTACTGACTTTGGTTATAGGCACTTCGCCGTAGACAGGAGCCGTCGGTGGATATTGATACACTTTTGATTCATCAACTGCATAATAAGATGATGCAGAGCTACCTCGTCGGCCAGTCATATTTCTCATATGATAATTCGGTTGTAAATCTTTGATATTCAATGGTTGTCGTGTGAATGGACTTGTGCCATGTTCTGCGATCCATCGCGCGATTGCTTCACGTTCATATGTACGACCATCGGCAGCTATCACTGGATCTCGAAAGGTTCGTAGCGTGATGGGACAGGTTAAGTCATAATCCTCAGTACGAGTTGTCACCCTTTCTTGCATCTTCGATTGTGTTTAGATGTTTGTTGGTACCCCTAACTATTACAGTATTTACAGAAGTCAGATGATCTCGCGAAAAGTAAAATTAAGAGAAGAAATTTTCAAAAAAAATAAGATAAAGCGTGCTTATGTTTGATACGACTCTTTTTCAGAGAACATAAAAAGTTAGTTTACTAATAGAGAGATAAGAAAAAGATGAGTTGATATTCACTCAAAATGCGACGCAAATAAAGCATTTACTATTGATAGTTGAAATGTTATTTCAACATCTGTTCATTTTTTTATGTGCGTCACTAGCTTTCCGATCAAATATTGGATCTGGCTGAGTTTTTCTCTCACTAATATCAGCAATGTATCTAAGCAAAACAAGGATATAGAATAAATAATTGGCAAACAATAGCGGATGAGATAAGTTTTGTTAATTGACTAAAACTTAGTGAATACAGATATCTTGCTTGCAATTCGTTTTTATTGACAATGTCGCTTTAGTAACAATGTTTCTTTTCTAGACATACATTCTGCTTACTTACTTATCTACTTATGTGACTGGACTGCAAGTGCACTTCAATGTTTTCTTCTTCTTCTTGTTTTTTCTTAACACCATATGCGTCTCGTTTTAGACTTGTCCAGAGCTGTGCTGATAAGGCTTTTGTTTTGCAAAATATTTGTTAGAGTATGTTGTAATATTATACGGAGAGAAAATTAAAGTCAATTCTTTCTGTCCACAGAGTATGAGAAATGTGTCAATATGCTGGTATTTTTACCTTTACATAGAATTCAGTAGAGATGGCGCGACTATCTTATTACAGTTAATGTAGTGATATCATTTTTAGATAAATCCAATTCGATGCTAAACCAAAATCAGGAAGAGTAAGAACTGGACGTACAAAAAAGACTTCATCTATTCGGTAGAAAAGGCTTGATTCCAACATACCTCGAAAAAGTTAACGAACAATGACTAACGACTGTAAGAGCAGTACTAAAATCATCAAGCGGGCACTCAATATTGATTTATACAAATAATTTTATTGAATAATCAATGGTCAAAAATTAAAAGAAGCTAAAGAATCAATAAGCAAACATGTTGCTAATGGATTAGGGAGAACACACGTCAAGATAAATTGGAGAAAATGATGTTGTATGGGTTGATGAATGTGATAGATTTAAGATTAATGTAAAAATATTCGGGATGCATTATAGATGGATTGGGCGTAACCTGATATTGACTCATAGAAGTCGTTACGTTTTTCAAGCAGGTGCACGTCTGAATGACCAAAGCAATCACGATCAATTATTACTATTTTATGGCAAGGAAGGCGATGAGCTATTCTGACGCACTGTTTGGGCCTACTAACAGAATAGCACTAGTTCTCATGCCGATGACAAAGTTGAAAAATGGCCTTCCAATTCACAGGAACTTAACTCATTGGATTATTCTATTTGGAGTAACATTCGAAGTCATGTATAATATCCAAAAGTAAAAACGCAATGGTAAACCTATTATACATGAACATAATTAATTCACGTAGTACTCTATTGTAGCTTTGGACCCACTCGAAATAGTAGGAACTCGACCCATTGGATCCTACTGCTTCCATCTGTGGAAAATGTTACGATGTTTCATCGTTTTCTGATGATATTCATACTAATGAAATCCAAGGGAATCGTATTGAATCTGATCGGATTTTGTCGAATTGAATCTTCTGAGACCTAAATAGCAAAAAAGTCTAGTTTGATATCAACATTTAGTCTGAAAGTAAAGTCTTCTCCCATGTAAAAAGAAACTTAGTGAGCATGAGAATAAATGAATTAAGAAATTAGACGTGAGTATATATTTTTTTTAATTGATATTTGTGCTCTAATACGCATTTTATCTGTTTTAACGCAACATATTGCGTAAAATTGAAAACCATTTGACGCAGTTTTTGAAGAATTTTGTGTTGCAGGGACTGGCATAACGATCCGTCTCTTCCATTAGATACACAATTACAACCTCACAAAATTATACACATTCTCCGCTAAGTGAAATTTGATATGATTGAATTTTCTCAATATTATTTCTACCACAATAATAAACACTAAGTTCATTTTTTGAACTTATTACTTTTTTTCCATATTTTACTTCTATTGATACAATAGAAATTATTTTCAAGAATTTCATTATATCGTTAATCACATGAATCTTTTGTTAATTGCATAAACTGATGAAGTGTTGACATGCCACGATTATGAGTGAGATATTTTTGTTCTATTTTCTAAATGTTAAATCATTCAATTGACTCTCAGAACTAAATTCAGTGTAACGAATGTTCTTGTTACTCTGAACAACATCCAGATAAAAAGCGGCATTGAAGTTTAAAACCTTAATAAGTAAGATATAGATTCACATCGACGAAGAAGTTCTTTTTTTTATCAATGCCAATGGTTGACCAAGAAACCAATTCATTTAAAATAAAAATCGGTTGTATTTGAAGGGTATCATTACGAATGAGCTGCATACACGATTATAAAAATTCAATTATGAAATTTTGAGATAAAGACAAGTTTTCAAATTGAGAGAATATATTTCAATTAAAGCAAAATTTTTATTTGTCTCTTAATTAGCTCTTTGATAGTGCCGCATATTTGATGAAATAGAATCTGAAAAGAAGAGAAAAACTCATTTATTTGTTCCTGGGATTTTATGGCGCAGAGTGAGGACTTTGACATGACTGAGCAGGCATAGATATGGTGCAGATGCAGGTGGGTAGCGAGATCTTGTACAACCGCACGATGTGTCGTAACGCGAATTCTTTGCAACAGATTTCAGATGTACCTGAAGGGCTTAATTCTACCAGAAGGTTAATAATTAGTTGAGTAAAGAAGTAACTAGTATAAATTCAGAATACCCTACAAAAGACAATAGATATGTGCCAGGCGAGTTTGAAATAACTTTTTCTTAACTTTTTTAATAGAATTTTTGTTGAGATCTGCCTTTAGAAAATTTTGTATTGATAATTATTCCTTCCATCTTTTTACAAGGTTTTCATATAAATTCAACTCTCTGTACATTTGTTAAACAATGGGGACATGGGGACATTGAATTTATCTGAGAAAAATAAATTATTTTATTTATACAACTTTTATAAATCAAATATAAAAATGTACCAAACATCCTTGTAATACCATCTGATGATTAATTCAGAGGAGATTAATTATATTGTGACTCATACCGGTAGAATTTAAATAAAACAAAAATTTTACTATTATTATTATTATTATACATAAAGCACAAGGTAATCATTAACCTATAATTTCTTTCATTCATTCGGTTGAATTTAATAGTAAAATCTTTTTTCCTTTTAAATATATTTTATTTTATGAAACACGAGCAGGGAAGAAAAAAGAAATTCAAATAATTTTATTTCGCGCATTCCAATCTCAACTGAAATTCTCATGTCAACTGTGACAGATATTCCTTTAACAGTAGTCGAAGAAAAAAAATTTCAATGTCGTCGTACACATCTCCCCCTAGAGTAAAACAAAATACTTCATCAATTCCAAGAGTAATGTTGATAGTTGTGATCAGAATTATGTGTGGATTGTTTATATATACAAAACTTTTTGAAAAAATATGAGGGTCCAAAAATGACTACATGAGATAGGTCCTTTTTTTGACCTTCATCTCATAAGCGAGTACTATGTTCTTTCATGAAGAAAGAAGAGAAATACGTCATTGTCGTTTTTTCGTACTTGATTACCCCATACGAGTAAAGAAAAAAATAACGAGAAGAATTGCCGTGAAGAATCCATTCCAATGCACATAAAAAGAGGAAAGAAAACCTTTTTTCCTCTTCGACTTATAACTACCACGCATTAGGCATCGGTTGTGTCTAGATTTTGCATGTTTTATGAAATATATATATATATATAGTTGTTACATTTTTTGTTCTATTATAGAAGCTTTTGATCGAAATAAGATGACAATGAAGACTTATTTATTAAATAGAATCACGGGTCGAAAATTCCGCCTCAATGGTATTCGACCGTCCACTCGTCTGCCGCATAAACAACGCTTGCGTCAGTCATTTCAGAATTTTATTGTCTACAGTGCCGACCAACTTCCACCTAAGGTTGACCTTCGATCACATATGTTACCCATTGAGGATCAGTCACAAATTGGTAGTTGGTAAAATAACAACGATATTTTTTCCTCAATTTTTTCTCGTATCTGATTCTATTTCAATTTAGCGCTGCAAACTGCCTTGTCGGTAAGATTCGATCATGGTATAACACTTTGATCAATTATGCAATCCTCATTTTTAGGCGTGTATCAATATTTAAACAAACAAGAAAACGAGGAGAACATAGCTTTCAGTCCTTTGTTCCTTTATTACAATGGTCGTGCCAAAGAAAATCCATCAGGCATAACGGATTCTAGTTGTACAATGACGAATACCGTTGAAGCTCTAGAAGAATCTGGAGTTTGTCTCGAATCAATTTGGCCATATAATATTTCACAATTGAATACTAAACCAAGCGCTGAAATCTATTCAGACGCGAAAGGCCATAAAATCATCGACGCACTGCAAGTGGACGTCGATTTGACGGAAATGAAATCATGTTTGGCACAAGGATTTCCATTTGTATTTGGTTTAAAGTTGTTTCCATCATTCGATAAAGCAGGAAAGACAGGTGTTGTTTCGATGCCGAATTCAAACGATGAAAGTCAACCTTCTGAAAACAAGTATAATATTCAGTATTGTAACAAACTGCTTATAAATATTTTTTTCTTCGTTTTAGTCACGCACTTCTAGCAGTCGGATATAGTGATAAATCACAATCATTTATTGTTAGAAATTCATGGGGAGAGGACTGGGTAAGAATAATCTTATTTATTTTTCGTTGTCTAAAAGAGGTTTTCATTGAAGTTTCGCAACACAACCTGAGAAAGATTTCGCTCTATGCTCGAACAGTATCAGTATTATATAAATCAAGTCGAATTTGTCAGACAGTAATAGTTGAAGCAATTGTTAAATCTTTTCTCTTCTGATGAAAGCAACTAGAAACAGAAAAACTTGATATCATTCCTAATTTACTGCTTACCTCTCATTTAATATTTCAGGGTGATAAAGGATATTGTTATATTCCATACAATTATGTCACCAATATTGATTATTGTTTTGACGTATGGACTGTTCGTCAATTGGCGACCGATGACTATGGTCAAGATCATTGGGACAATACTGATTCAGTCGATTATCAGCAATCCAAAAACAGTGATGATGAAAATAATAAGGATGGCAATCATGTTATCCAGAATATTGACGAGGATGATGATAAAGATGTCACTGCGAAGTAGTTGATGGTGGGGGATCATAAGCTTCCATTGAAGAATACAAAAATTGATCAGCTTCTGTTTTTTTTTGTTCTCTATTGAGTTCACTACTATTTGCATATAGTATGTTCAATTATACTTGTTTTTTAGTGGAATAAATGATATATTGATTAATTCATTCTCAAGTGTAACGATCACGTCTATAGAATTTCGATTAGCTAAGTAGTTTCATATAATTACATTCGTCTTGTTCTATTATATTATTATTTTGAAGTCTATCATAATTAAATTAAAGATGATATTGTTTGCTCTCATCATTCTTAGCTTAGCGACAATAATATACTGCAGTTGTCGCCTGTTTACTTCTAGATATCGTCTTCATATTGAAATGTGGAAAAACTTGTGTTGTTTTCGCACTACAGACAGAATGAAAATCAGACCCGAGATAGACAACAGTGAATGTGCAAGGCATAAAAACTATTAATTGTCGAATGACTTCGAAATGCAAGGTGTGTTTCAAAAGTAAAACAAACAAATATCTCCAAAAATTCAAATTTTTTTCATGATTTTTTTATCATTCGATCTGTCATACCTTAGGAAAAAATTTAACCGGGTTTCAGATCATTTTGAATTTATACTACACAATCAATGAAAGTTACGTGTTCTTTATTGAAACAATCGAGAACAAGAGCATATATAATTGTAAAGCATAAGTAGACGTCGGTTGTTCACTGTTACTAGATAGGCCATCGTCGTTCAATGATTGATTACCATATTTTCGTAACCATTTCAGTTCTTCTCGAACTTTTATTTTTCCATGCCAAGGATTATCTTTCATTGAGTGTCCTTCCTTTGGAAAAATAATTAATTTAACTGGCACACCAAGATAGTGAAGTCCTCGCTCTAATATATAACTTTGAGGTGTAGGTACTCGATTATCCTTTTCACCAGTGATGATATGCGTAGGTGTGCGTATCCTATCTAAGTGATAAATAGGTGCTTCATTTTGATAAATATTGGGTGTTTCCCATGGAAATCCTCCTAATAAGTAGCTGAGTGGTACAGGTAGATCCATCATGCCCCATGCTGAAGCATAGTCAACAACGCCAGCACCCGAGAGAGCAACATTAAAATGTCTAGTCTGCGTAATTAACCAATTTGTCAAGAAACCACCATAACTATAACCACCGACTGCAAGTCTGTGTGGATCAACAATACCATCTTTGATCAATCGATCAACTCCACAAAGAATATCTTTTCCTGGTCGAGATAGAGGTCTATAACGAATTTCATTGAGAAATTCATCGCCATAACCTGTTGATCCACGATAGTTTGGTTCCAATACAAGCCAACCTTCTAACGCTGCCAACGAAGCCCAATCATGCCACGCGAGCTCAAGCCTATTTAGACTAGCCCAATATGGACCTCCATGGATAAGCACTAAAAGAGATAGATTTTTCGATTCAAACATTCCAGGTGGATAATGTAGGATTCCTTCGATCACTCGATGGTCATCTTCATTTATCCAGCTGTATAATTTTGTTTGAGGTAAACTCCTTTGATTAAATAAATCGTTTTCATTGGTTATTGCTCGTGCTGATTTCAATTGATTAATATTGTTAGCGAAATAAACTTCCATAGGTTTTTCAAGTGACGAATAAACAAATGCGATTGGACCATTTTCATTTGAGGATGCAATCAATTCATATGTTCCATTCCATCCATGATGATGAATTAAATCATTGGTTGATAATTCTTGTGTATAAATGTGTACTTCAGTTCCTAATTGTCCGAGTATGTAAACACCAAAATCATACTTAATTGCGTATCTATTGATATTACCCTGAAATGTTTCTCCTAAACGTGTTAGTTGCCCATTTATTAAGTTTAATGAATAGAGACGATACTGTGTATTATTAAATTTTCCTTTATTCGTACCAAGACTGACTGTAAGAAAAAAAAGATGATGACCATCAATCGATAATTGTAATTCTATTTCGGCTACTTCATTATTTGTCAATCTTGTTAATTTCAAGGTATTTTGGAGATCAATTGAATATAATTCAAAATCATTTAGATCTTCAATAAGTTTCGATGCGGATGAGACGATGAGTTGCTTTTCATAGGAAACATATAATAGTTCATTGATAAGAAAAGATACATTACGAACAACATGTCTTTCTACAGGCAATGAGAGATTATTGAAATTGAGATCAATACGATAGATTGTGCTGTTACTTGGTACTACATGTTGTCGATATTGAATAACATCTTTCCATTCATCATTATACAAATCATTTTCTTTATCTATTGACCACAAATCAATCGTCGCTATGTAAAGAGATGAATCATTGTCAGACCATGTAAAAGTTGAAAGAATATCTTTGCCAATTTGAATAGAAAATAGTTCATCGGATATAAGAGAATATAAATAAATATGCTGTTCTGTTTGCTTATCATTGGTCTTGTTTTCTGAATTATCAGTTTTTAGTGTTAATGCAATATAGTCACCGCTTGGTGACCACTTTGGTTTGCTTGATGCACTAAGATTTAATGTAATTAATTTTTTGGTTTGATTTTTTATATCATAGAGCCATAAAGTATTTTCATAAGAACTAGTATTCCACGATGGACATCTTGTTTGAATAAGCAAATGTCGAGCAGTTGGAGAAAATTTTAAAAGTGGAAATGTAGTGTAATCGAAAAATTCGTCAAAAGTTAAGTTTGGCATAGTTTCCACCGACAAACATGAAAGTACGTCCAAAAGTAAGAGTGAATAAAATTGCATAAGCATCACTGTGATGACCTAAATGGAGTAACGAGATCGATTAATATCGATATGTGACTTTATTTCACATAAATATCAATGATAAAGTTGTGCGTTGGTATTATTTTTCATATTCTTATCTTACCAAAAATTAGACAACCACTAACAATAATCACAAACCAAAATTGTACCAATGCGTTATTTATATGAAAAGATCATCGCTTTATCAACATTTTTTATACCATGATTGTTTCGACAAATAAACACGTACAATGCGTAAACTAATATGCTGTGTTTCTACCCTTTTCGTTATCTCATTCTTTCTATATATTTCATACGTATACGCCACATGGGACAATATTGAACTTTTGGAGAATTCATTGCAGTTAGATGCGAAAGAGCGATTTTTGCTTATTAAATTCTTCTCCTCGCTGTTAATAGAGAAAAATAGAATTAAAATAAAACAGGCGAACAATGATTTGCAAATATGAAATGACATTATAAGTAGAATCCTGAAAACAACTTTTTCATCGAACAAGTGAAACATCTCAAATCTTTAGATAGTCAATTTTAAGAAAAGGCTGCCATCCAACAACTCACGAATTGGAAAGATTTTCCGTCACCACAGCAATGCGTGTTCAGCCAGTTTTGAGTGATATGTTATATCTTCGGATCCCACGTCTTCTATCATGTAAAACAGCTATCCTTCAAATTGTTACTTTGTGATACAAAATAGAATAAAATGGTGTTAGTATATGACTATATACATATGCGTATATAAAAGTATTGAAAACAAGCACAACCTATTTTTTTTCTTTCTTTTTGTTTTTGCTCGAGAAAATATATTCTATGTGTAGTAAGAGTAGGTACTATTTTGTTTGTTAAAAACACTTCCATTCACTTAGAGATAAGCTGGCAATTTAGCTCATCGATTATGAAAAAGAGTGACTGATAGAACATCACGAGTCTGTCGTAGTTCTAGGATAGCTTTCACAAAATATAGGAACTACTAAAATCTGAAATTAGAAGATTCATGATGAAAATTTGTTTAGATTACGTATGTTGATAATAATTCTGATGAAATGTCTCGAAATGAATACTTTTACAAAGAGCTATTAAATGTTTTTCTGGCAAATATTACTAAACATTAATAAAAATGTTCATTTCGAAATTCCTACTCAAGCAGTGTGCACTATATACTCACACATCCATTGATGATGCTCGTCTTGATGCAAGGAGAAAATGTTCTTTTAAGTGAAACGACAACTTGATCTCTGTTTTGCTCCGCTTTGCACACTTAATCGATGTGCATTGTAGATATATTTAAAGCAATAAGCTAACACAGTGGAATTGTTCCAAACAGATGAACTGTATAGTGATAATATCGCGGACATCATTTGACTGTTGAAAAGAATAAAACCTTTGGATCGATCCGAATCGAATTTTTCTTTTTTCAGATTTGAGCAATCGCGCCGTGTAACAATGATTATCGCCAATGTTCACATCGTTCTCCACGTTCTGAAAACTCGTTGTTTGCATTGGATTAAAAAGATGCATGTTGATCTAGTCAATATCAGGATTTATGACATCACTCGTTATTCAGTTGGATCTAGTTCAGTAAGTTTTAAATTCTAATACAATAGCTATTGTTTTGGAGGCATTCTGTGAATAGAAAAAAGATTGTCTAGTAACGATTGGTGCATACGATGGATAGACTTGAAGCTAGTGTGCTATCTGTTTAATTTTTCAAAAATTCATTTCCGATGCGTTTGTTTATAGTTATGAAGACTAGACTTTTATATATTTGAAAGTTTGAATTTACAAATAAATAATACGAGAAAAACTCTAATTACAGTAGAAAGTTCTATTTTCAAAAAATTCAAAAAATAAAACCAGTAAAAGCTCTCTTTTATTGTCAAGCTGCTTCTGATGCTTCGTGTAGAATGAGAGGTGCATTTTTTTTACTTGATATCTGTTGTGCATGTGACACATTAATAGATAATATATGTTATCTTTTTGATTCACAAATAGTTTCACACTCTGCCGTTGTTGCGTTTGAACTTAAAACTCGCTCTCTTTCCACTGTGTGCATCACATTGATTCTAATTCACATAATATTTACTCGTAAATTTAACAATGAATCGAGTAAATATGATATTTTTGACATTTGTTTCAATTATATTTGGGTGTTGGCTTCCGTATGCGGAATCAATAAAAATTAGTCCTTGTGCAAAATGGAATAAATCAGGAATCGTAGTAGCTGGTAATGGTGAAACAGGTAAAAAATGATTCACAAAAGTACATGGTCAAAAATGAAATATATTGCCACTTGTTTTACGTTTTTTACTTACATTCACATACTATCGGAAATGTCCGATTTCATTTTTGATAATTAAAACAAAATAAAAATACATTGTCTTTCTCATCTGGAACAACCAGTTAATTCGTGTGATCATATCCGTTGTGTGTTTATAAAAAAATCAAGTCATTTACGAATGAGTTTCAACAAGGCTGATCAACTTAAAGAACCCGAAGCAATTTTCATTCATAAAAAAACGAATACATTGTATGTGGCTGATTTGGGTAATGAACGTATTCAAATGTTTTCGCTTAATAAATTACCGGCCATGGGTACTACCGTCATATTCAATATCCCATATCCTACGAAGATCTATGTTGATGATGACATCAATGGACAAACAATTTATGTCTCTCTTGAAGGCGAGCATTGTGTCAAAAAATGGACTCAAGGGGCGACACATGGCGTAAAAGTCGGAGGTGAATGTTTATATTGTTCAAGCGTATGGGTTGATAAAGAGAAAAATGTTTATATGGCATCGGCGGCCAAACATTGTGTGTTTAAATGGTCGCCACGAACGAATATCACAACGACCGTCGCTGGTCGAGAATATTACGCAGGATCAACGAGTGACAATCTCAATTCTCCCGAAGGAATTTATTTCGACGAAACTAGTGGTACAGTGTACGTGGCCGATTATGCAAATAACAGAATTCAAAAATGGTTAAAAAATGCGCCAAATGGTACCACTGTGGCTGGATTGAGCACGAGCGCTGCAGGTAGTGATGCTGAATCATTGTCGAGGCCAACTGCTGTATGGGTTGATGATGAAACTCATGTTGTCTATGTAGCTGATTCATCCAATGAACGAATTCAACGTTGGCTGTATAATGCACCAATGGGCGATACCATTGCAGGCGGCTTAGGTATGGATGCAGAATTTTAATTTTCTTTACCCAGTTTTTTCGAAGTAAAAAAAGATACAACTTCTTCCGATTGCTCAAAGTAGCTATTTGAAATGGAGCAAAGATAAAAACGGAGTAAAATTATGAAGCGAAACTATTGAAACCTTTATAAATCGCGCTCCTTGTTTATAACTATATGGCAAGTTGGTTCTAGATTTAAAACTAATCGTTCATGCATGAGTAATTCTGAGAAGTATATAAAGTTCAATTTTCAATGACATCAATTCAAGGTTGAACAAATCAGCATTATGACTCATTTTATCCGGAGAGTCAAAAGATTTATTTAATATTCTAAAGAATAGGCAATACTTTTAAATGTTATCTTTTCTTTCTGATGATGCTTCATAATAGGTGATGGTGATAAACAAGGTCAACTCGATCAACCTAATGACTTGGCATTTGATAATAATGGCAATCTCTATGTGTCCGATCGATTAAATCATCGCGTTCTCATGTTTAAAATTATCCACAATGATCCATGTTTTCCGACATCGACAGGTTATTGAAGTTTTCTATCTTTAATCTGCTGTTTTTTTTTTCTAAAAATGCTTTTAGCCTGTACATCGATATACAAGTGAGTACGTCAATAAAAATTCATCAAATTTTAAATTGCATTTAATAGGATGACGACCGTGACACTTGCTTTGCCAATGGTAACATGGATAATTAGGTGGATTGTTTACAATCAAATTGGTCAATATGCCTAGTCATTGACATAGAACATAATAGGATGTGATATTTTTTCATTATTTGTTTTAAATAAACACTGGAAGTTTTTGATGATCGTTTTCGTCCAAATAATCTTTTGAATGCATTTCTACGACTAACAAAGATGAAAAGAAATGTGAATATGAACGCGCTGTGCCGATATTGATGGCACGCTTGGATAATTCTCCTTCCTCCTCTTTCTATTCTCTCTCCATTGTTCTAATATCTCTCTCCTATACATACGTGTATTATGTATGAAGCAGGCCTCGAAATGGGCCGCCCGGCCCGATGATTGATGTAGATTTTTCTATTACCATATATAGATATGACTAGCAATTGAAATAAAAAGTGTTTTATATCATCGATATACAATAGATTGAATTATAAAGTACCAAATTCATGAATTTTCTGGTACCGTCATGAAGAGAAATTCCCTTATTTAGCTAAATTAGCTAGAAGTTTGCATTCAATTTCTGCAACGTCGGCTTGCGTTGAATGACGATTCAGTGCTGGCAGTCTTCTAATTAGTGAACGACGATCATCATTAAACCCTGACACTGTTGAAAATGTATTATTTATTCGATCGATTCAAAAGCACTTAAGAACAATTCCAATCTGTTTTCTGTTTGAATATGTTATTTGATAAAATGTTTCATCATAAATCGATGATTAGAATAATTTTATCCTTTTCATGATGTCCTAATGATTCTCGATATGATAGCTACATAAATATTTTTCTTCGCTGAATCTATGTGAATCTAAATCTTGTTTCTAGTTAACATGGGCTCGGGCTCGGGCCGGGCTAGATATAAATTTTTCGGGGCCGGGCGGGCTTTTAAAATTTAAGGCCCATTTTGGGCCGGGTCGGGCCATGAAAAAATGGCCCACTTCGAGGCCTGGTATGAAGTTGTTACACTCTGGATATGTGAAGAAGCGAATCAACATCATTGTCGAGAGTGGCTGTAAGCTACTTCACCTCTATCCAGTTTGTTATTACAATATCAACCCCAAAAAGAGAGAGTCCGCATATTTATCGTTACAAGCGCTGATGTTTTCATAAATTTCGAGACAACCTACACTAATTCATGTACTAGTGTCTGTCAAAAGAGCTGAAAACAGATCTTTTAATTATGATAGTTTAGAAAAGTGTGTTGATGTCAACATATGATCTTTGCTCAATTGCACACCTTTGAAAATATTTTATCTCAAAATTATAAGTTTCATTATAATTCAATGATCTAATTTCAATCAATGAAGCTCGTTCTACCTGTCAGCATTGATATAAATATAAGATTCTGGTTCTTTATTTACATGATCATCCTCTAACGCACTGAGCAGTGTTGCCAGTCGTGTGTGCTAAATCGCATAAAAAAACATGTCTTTAATTCATTGTTGATAGGTAAAACTGACTGAAGGATGTCACTTATTCATCTCTTCAATAGCTGCTTGACTAGCGTCGGCTTACACACATTTGCTGCTCGATAGTTCCATTCAGGAAAAATATGTTTTAGCGCCGACTTGACTATTAATCGCACATATGTTGACGTATGTTATTGCGCGTCGATATTCGTCCGATATCATTTTGCTTTTTAGCCAAGTTAGTTCAAGGAAAGAGTCAACATTGAAGAAATCCATCAGACCCGCCAGTCGATTGATTCCGCCATTAAGTAATTCAGCGATTGGTAAATAGGGAGTTAATATGTTGACTTCTACTTCGATTTCTTCATAAGTATTACCAGATGCAACAGCATTACTGCTCATTTCCCTCTTCAATACAAGCCTTTTCAGCGCACATTGATCGAAGGTGATTCTGTGGCAAGTGTTGATGCATACTGTTGCCTTTTCATCAATAATACGTGAAGAATTCCATGGCGCAGATGAAAAGAGAATGAACAGAAAACAAAATAATGTATGCTGATATCAACACATTTATTTTGACTATTCGTTTCCATGCTTCGATTAGAAAAGTGGAAAGATAATACCGCTGTACTATTGAATTTAACAAGTTATTTATCTATTAACGATATACGTCATGGTGATGAATCTCTTTTCTTAAGAAGCGACTCTAAACTCAGTAAAAAAAAAAGAAAAGACAATTTTGTTCAATTAAGATCTAAAAAGAACACAAAATATCAGTGAATGTTTGGATAATTTCCACCAAGTTATGTTCCATGAGAAAAAAAAAGATTTGCTTGGAATTGCAGTTCGAGTCTCATGTACACATGTGTTGAGATGATGCAGACGTATAAAGACCAATCTGCGTACTTGCATATGCATTATCACTTACCATCACATACTCACACATAACTCCCTAATAGATGTTTTAGCTTGCTGGAATATAGTATTTCATCGGCGTATTGTTTGCTGTAGAATAGAATAACTTGATTTTTGATTCTCTTTGCTAAAGATTTAGATTAGCTTTCTGAAAGCGGCTATTTTTTTGTCATGTATGAATTTACATATTTTTAATTGAACGAGGAAGAATTTTATTTTTACTAAGGTTAAGTTAATCAAAAAAGTAATGTTAATGGTTGGTTTCTTTTTATGGTATTGAAAACGAGTAGAATTCATTTGAATGCATTTTTACTGTAAGAAATTGATTTTCAGTTTAGTTTGTTATGGGAGTTCAATAGGACATGTGCCGTTTAAAATCTCAGTTTTGCTTCAGACTATAGACTTCAATTTCAACAGATTTGAAATAATGTGAACCAGTGAATGTGAGACGTCCTTTGCCAGTTGAGTCAATATAATCATTAGGAAACAAAATATGACTACGAGCATTTTCATTACTATTTGAATAAACACAAATGTCCCATAGACCGAATGTTGGTCCCATATTTGCTTTGCAACCGATTGCATTTTGACCTTTAGCATTTATTTGATATTTAGTAGGCAATATCTTATGTGGATTAATTAAAGTAAACAGAAATGCATCCTTGTCTGTGAGCCATTGCCAATTGTCATGGCTTTTCCAATTAGTCAATGAAAATCCTCCAAATAAATGTCCACTTGATGATTGAATGACAGTTAATGTTGGACCTTTGCTATCACAACACCGATAGAAATCAGTACTAGAAAACCCGTCTCGTGTAGCTTTATAGGCAAGACGCCATTTTTGATTTCGTTTTCCATAAAATTCGTTGAGTTTAATTTGATGTTCGTGACATAAAAGTGTTCCATTGGGGAAATATTCCTTCTCGATGTGAATATCATGTTCGAAGGAAGTTTGAATTTGTGAGTTGAATTTGATTGGTGGTATGACCATTTTGATTGGTGGCAGAATCATTTTGGCATGAGATTTATGTACATTAAGATCGATTTGAATTTGATTGAGTTTTTCGTTTAGGTTTTTGATATCTTTTTCGAAGTAATTATTATCGGTTTTACACTTCCTTAATTCCTGAGAAATTTGATCTAAGTCAGTTTTGATGTTAGAACCTCTCAATGCCATCAATTCTTTGATACGACTTCGTACACGATCTGCCTTTCGTTTGATACTTTCCAATGCTTGTTCCTCCCATTGATTGATATCACCGAGAAGACCTTTAAGTTGGTGCTGTTTGATCTTTGATGTATTATCCACAATATGATGTGGTAGATTGCTTCTATCGTGCCATAATTGCGCGAACTTGGTATCTAAATGTTGACGATGCTCGCGAAAATGTGTTGAACACAAAAGAGTGGAACATCCATCGCATTGAGCAATCCCCAACTGTTTGCAGTGCGAACATTTTGCTGACAATATTTCAGCCATACGACAGCTTCATGTACATATGCCTGCCGTAAAAGCAGCAATACAAGAAATCAAAGTGAAAATTTTATGATAAGAAAAATAATATTATTTTAATGGATAGAAGTCAAACAATATTTTTAATAAAATCGAAACTTAAACAGAATATTTTTTTAAAGATCGTTGTTATTCTTCTTAAATGTTTTGAAGGCAAAGGGTGGTCATTAAGAAAAATTAAAAGGTATTTTAAGAAGTAAAATGAATGTTGCATTGCTTATCACACTTATAGAAGCTGAAGAAAAAGCGTTTGACTAAAACATTTATACAAAAAAGGTGTACGAGTTATAATTAAAAAGAAAGAGTGTGGGTAAGCGTATTGATAAGAAGTTCTAACGTTCACATCCGCAACCTCAAATAGAGATAATTATATCGCTGACTTTCCATCGATGATCACAAATTGAATACGTCGCTTCAATGTTTTTATCTCTTATCATTCTGTTGTTTTTTATTTGTAACAAACAGCCTTGATGAATGTTATTATAGTTTAATAAATCACGTAGTACATCTCGGAAATATTAAGTTAACTAAGCTGAGACGAACCAGCAACAGACAAAAAATCGATCGGTGAGATAAATGTTCATTTCAAGCGGGAAAATGCCGTTCAGGTCAAAAATGAATTCTTTCCCCGTTCTGTCTATAACACAAGACAATCTATATAAGTATAAGTCAGCGTGTGTATATACTAAATTCATATCGAGTACTTTTGTCGGCACTGTTCAGAAAAAGATATCCGAGCATATGCTACACAGAACTTTACAAAAGCCAAATATGAGTGGTTTTCATTTTCATGCTTCACATTCGTTCTTTTCCAACGATTCATTGAAACCAAATTTCTTCTCAGCTCTTTGAAATTCGTCACGCATCACCACAAAACTATGAAAGCTTTCGCTTATATCGTAAATGATTTACGGCATCCGATCTTCAGGCAAATTTACCCATCATTGTTTTAACCAAAGTCAACCAAAATCTAACCGACTGTAAATTTTCCCAACATCCTTAGTACCGTGCAAACTCCTTTTTCTCCTATCGCGAAAACCTGTACGTTCATTTCGATTACATACGAACGCATTTTTCTCTATAGGAAAAATGGCGTTTCATCTATCTAAAGTATTTTTCCCATTGCGTTTTTCATTTTTCCGCTGCAAGCTCATTTTTCTGCTAGGGAATAGAAATATATTCTTACTAAAGATCGTTCACAATAGCATTTTTCTTTTTCCCAAACTACTTTTCCCATTGCGTTTTTCATTTTTGCAGTGATGTGATGTTATTGGGGGAATGGTATATTTTCATTACTGTTTTTTTCGTGTAGTGTGTGTATCGTAAGTTTAGTTTTTAAGCATTTTTAACCTGAACGTCAATTATGGCTTGAAACGAGCATTTATGTCACCGATCAAATATTTGTCTAAGCCTCGTTTTTCACAATGTAGTTTAATTTGATTACAAAACAAAGGAACCTTTGATCGTTGATTGTATGTATCGGAGCGGACGTCCCATGGGGATGGGATGGGGACGAACATTGTTAGAAAATTTTAAGCAGACAAGAAAGAATCAAAATCTCTTTCGATACGACTCTATGATATGCATACTATCTCTATCCATTAAAATTAAGATCGTTGTCTTAGATGACTCTTAAAAGCTTGTATTCGTTTTGTTTTAAATATTTTTCCTAAATTGAACAACATATACCGAAAATGTTTTAAAATATGAGAATAAAATTTGAAAGCGGTCACTGACGTCAATAAATATAATTTTAATGGATAAAGATAGTACGCATATAATAGAATCACCTCGAAAGAGACTTCAATTCTTTCTTGTCTGCTTAAAATTTTCTAAAAATGTTAGTCCCATCCCGTCTGATGGGACGTCCCGCGCGGAGCTCTGGTATGTATGTCTTTTTTTATCACCCCTTTTTTGCAATTAAATGCATTACCAAAACTAGCAAAGATTGCCGTCCGCCAATGTGTTGGTTTTTGCATGATTCAAATAACCGACAACTTTATTGCTGTGTCCTTCAGGATGGAAGTATTTTCGTTAAATTTCAGCATCGTGACTGATCGACAACATACAATCCTTTTTTTTTAACTGTCACACAAAAACTCTACCTCGTTTTATTTTTCATTTCACGATGAAGAACTGCTGGAACGAAAAAAGTGGCCTGCCGTTTTCAGAGAGGCTTACTTGTCAACACACGTACATACTTTTTTCATTCATCTTCACGTAAAAAAAACTTGTGCCATATGTGCAATTAAATTTTAATTCACAAACACGTACGTAGGAAAAATCAGTTTTATAACTTTTACTTAATGTTATATTGATGCGTCGAAAGCAAGTTAGAAATTCAAGCTGAATAAATTTTTTTCGTTTCTGAAAGAAATTTATGAAATAATGAAAACTATTCACTTCGGTGAGTAAAAGATCAGACATAAATTCTTGAATTTTCAATAGGTTTAATGAACTATTTTGTAGTGGTAGTAGATATGATGTCTCATATAAATCCATCAATATAGTAAATTCATTCATTTTTGGAATAGACATTATGCAAAATTCATTACAAATGTCCCTGTTTTCCCCACAACTGAATTGAAATTTTCCAGTTTCAAAGCTATGATTTCTGATAATATTTTCGTTATTTATTTTTAGATCTTGATTCGAGTGAGTGAATCAATTGTTACTCTACACAATCTGAGTGACTGCACGTGCATATTTGGATCAAATAGTAATGGAAAAATCGCATTTCTTACTTCGTAAAATGCACTACGTCTGTCAATATTCTGCCTGCTGTAATCGTTGTTCTCGGGAACATAAAGTATCTACCGTTCCCGTCGTAGACGTTAAAAATTGTTATCGTTCTCTTCTTTATTCTGCTGAACTCTATTGGTATCATAGTTATAGTATTTGTGAAAGTTGCGGCCGTGATGATGATTATCATTACTATCGATGCCAAGAATGCGGACATATTTATTGTCATGATTGCTGCTTCAAATAAAAGTCGTTTGGTTCTGAAATGCCTTGGCAACGTTTAATCCGATGTGTAATTTTCCTTGGCCAAATAACTCTACTACTTTCTGTTGGTGAAAAACGAGCTACCGCGACTCTAGTTTTTTTTCTCTGTTGAGAAGGATGCATTGCTCAAAATTGCTTCGAATATTATTCTGATCATAATTGAGCACGTGCGAATTTTAATAGCAGGTTTTTAAGCGAATGATTAAAGTTTAGTACTGGCTTATGTAAATACCTGTGAGATACTAATAATAAATAGCACACAACTTCAGTTGCAACCCCTTAATGAATTTATTTTACACATGGAAAATCACCTCGTTCGTAGTATTTATCAATATATATATATGAGACAAATCGAGTATTCAATGCAAGTGCGTCACAGGCTTCAAAAATAGGAATGTTAAAAAAACTGCAATATATTCTAACTATATTAAATAATATTATATTGATAAGAAAAGTTCTCCTGTTCTTGGTTATTTCATGAGTGAGGCTTATTCCTAGATGTAAATGAGTATTTTGTGATTAAGTTTTGCTTCTGGTATATTTTTACAAATAAAATGGCACAGAAAAATCCAACTACTCAGTAAATTCATTCTAATGAAGTAAAACACGGAATATAGGAAGAATTATGATTTTAGGCAAGAAATCTGCAATATTTTCTATTACAATATCGAAATTTCTCATGATAACTGTAGCACTTTGGCGTAGTTCTAAAATATCGGTAAACAAGAAAAAAGCACAGTCAATTTGTTTTCTTATGGTTAGTGTGAGTTCGGATTTGAATCTGCACAGGTATCAGGAAGTTTTCAGATTCTCAAACTAGCAACTTCATTCGCACCCAAAATATTTAGTGATATTAGTGAGACAAGACACTTTTTAGTTAAAAAATGATTTTGTTGCCCATTCGAAAAAAAAAAGATTTAAGGGATGAGACACAAGTGAAAACTTTAGTGGACTGTTGGCGAGTAAAAAGCGTTTACTTCACGTAAGATTTGAGAGAAAAGGATGTTTTTTCTCTCCCCTTATCTACCACTATTAGCATCCCTGCTTGTTGAGTGCACCATCTGCACCTTTTTCACATGCCTTTTTCTTCTTCTTCTCCTCTGGCGGAGTACCATGTTCTCACAAATACCAAACAATGCTCCTATACGATGCCAATTTATTTTTTCTGATCGGATTATTATTTATTGTTCAAACAAGTTATAATCATCATATTGACCCACGAAAGAATGTCGGCGCAATGTGTGGAAATGATACATCGCATGGCGATCCTAATTTGAATCCAATCGATGATAGTCCACCAAAACTCATACGTACAGTCGAAAATGGATCACTCTATACGGTTGGCTCTGGTGAAGATCAATTTTGGCTGGTACATGTTTGGGGCAATACTGGATACGATTATGGATTTGCATATGGAACACTTTTAAAAGAACAGATCATCCAACTTCAACCAATTGCTTGGGCTCATTTCGAACAACAAATTATGGATGAATTAGAGAAATTAAAATTACCTAAATGGTTCGAAGAAATCGTTGCTGACAAAGGTCTTGCTTTCGCATTGGATTTCCAAAATACGTTGGTCGAAGGGTATATTGATAAAGAAATTTATGAAGAAATACGTGGTATTGCTGATGCTGCTAATATTGATTATCGTGCAATTCGACGATTACACATGCTCGGTGAAATCACACGAGGTATATTAGTAAAAAAGAGGTCATGCTATTCCACCAATTCACTCATTTATCTCATTAATTGATGATAGGTCGATGTTCACTCTATGGCCTCTGGGGTAACTCAACTCTTGATGGTAAAACTCTTCAATTACGAGCATTAGATTGGGATACAAAAGGTGGTCTTCAAGATTTTCCGGTCGTTACTATCTATCATCCACTTTCACCAAAACTCGGTCACGCTTTTGCCAATGTTGCTTGGGCAGGTATATACAGTTGATAGCCTTCTCGGAAAAGTGCTACTTCAATAATTTCGAAGTAGTGTGCAGCAGATTTAAAGTAAAACTAGCACTTTTCCCTATTGATTTTAACGTGTTCTTTTTAGTAAAATTTGACTGAACCACTAATTAATGGCGGAGAATGTCAACCTAAAGTATTTTTCGACGACTTTGTTATTACTAGTAATCATGAGACATGGAAGAGTTATAACTGATTGAAACATTATTTGGCTGAATGAAAAAATCAGATTTTATTCTAGCACTATTGAGAATATCTGAAAATCCCTTGAATGAAAAAATGTGAAATAGTTTCTTTTGTTGCTTGATTGTCCTTTTCATTTTAACAGGTTATATTGGTACATTGACGGGAATGTCGTCAACACAAATGGGCATCTCTGAAATTGGAATCTATTTTTCGGATGATACATTTGGCGATGAGAGCATGAGTGGTTTACCATTCATTTTTGTCGAACGATACATTTTACAATTTTCTGAAACACTTGACGATGCGCTTTCATTTATTGCTGATGTAAGACGAACATGCCATTTGGTTTTGGCTGTCGGCGATGGAAAATTAGGCACCGCTCGCATGATACAATATTCACATTCACGTGTGAACTTTTTCGATGATCAAAATTTACAGCCTGTAGCTGATTGGCATCCACGCATACCTAATGCTGTCTATTGTGGCATGGATTGGCTCTGTCCATCTCATCAATACAGACTATATCAGCAAATAATCTATCAATATGGACAAATAACACCGGAATCGTCTATTCGAAATATAACATCAGTGGCAAAAACAGGTGATTTACACGTCGGTGTATATGATCTTACCGACAGTATTCTGTACGTAGCAAATGCTCGTGGTACAAACGAAACAGGTCCACTGGAAGCTTATCAACGGCAATTTGTTAAAATTGATCTCAATATTGAATTTGCTCGTAAACAGTCATCAATGAAATAAATTACAGAAATAAAATTGCTCTAGTACTCATACTTTCAGGAGGCAATCAACATAATTCAGTTGTCAAAAACATAAAATAAGATGTGGGTAAAAAGACGGATCACACCCCCATCATCCTTTAAGCAATATCTTCAAAAACGTTTTTGTAAAAATCTCACGCTCGATCATAACAATTAGATTTTTATTATCGATTTTCCATTGATTGAGCAATTCAACATATGTTTACTTTGCTTCTCTAAATGTTTTTGAAGAAGAACAGGAGCCAAATCACTTGTAATGAAAATATGACATGCTCAAATGCACTGATGAATGAATATGTACAGTTCAACATCAATTAATTCAGTAGAAATGCAAGATTGAAGATTATATTTTTATGTTTAAGAGAAAATTAGACTTATTGATAAATAGATCGAAAAATTCTTCCCAATTTCCTATGTGTTCACAGGCGAATCGATACTTTTCGATTGTCTTTCGCTTGAAGCGAAGTAGGTTCTCATGGCATTTAAGGCCGATCCAGCTTTGAACCATTCGATTTGTGCTTCATTAAAAGTATGATTCAATTTAATAGTTTCTGTTTCACCATTGAGATGCTTTACATGGCATTCGATTTGCTGGAACAAAAATTTTAAAAACAAATAAGTAATCAATAAAAATATGAATCGAATTACCTTATCCGGTGCAAATGATTTCAAATCAATCAACGAGATTCGATCACTTGGTTTAATCTTATTATAATCATCTGGATTATCGAATGTCAACGCTAAGAGACCTTGTTTTTTCAGATTCGTTTCTAGAATAATTCAGCTAGTTTTCAATTGAATTTATTTAAGATGTACTTTAATACTAACCATGTATACGAGCAAAACTTTTCACGATAATGGCTCGACCTCCCAAATGACGTGGCTCAAGTGCAGCATGTTCACGACTACTACCTTCACCATAATTCTGATCACCGATCACGACCCATGGGATGTTTTTACTCTAAAACTCTCGAATTAAAATTCATTATTAAATTTATAATCACATACTTGGTAATAACGAGCTGTATCTGGTACTTTACCCTGCTGATTAGTCATCGTATTTTGAATATTATTAGCTTCGCCATTCTCCTCGTTAATAGCGCTATAAATATACAGAGGAAAATATTTTACAACCGATTTCATTTTTAATTTAAAAATCAATCATACCCAATGAGCATATTATTTGAAATATTATCTAAGTGACCACGATACTTGAGCCAGACACCAGCAGGACTAATGTGGTCGGTTGTGCATTTGCCTTTGATCTAGTACAAATTAATAAATGTATAAAAAAAAGAAACAATATTAAAGTTTCATTCGATTTTACCTTCATTAGAATGGGCATATCAGTAAGATCTTGGCCATCCCATGATTGAAAAGGTTCGAGTAATTGTAGACGATCACTTTTCGGATCAACATCGACTACCAATGAAGAACCATCTTGAGGTGGTTCCTGATAATTATCAACACCAGCATCAAAACCATTCGCGGGAAGTGTATCTCCATGTGGCGATTGGAGTTTGAATTTTGATCCTGAAAATTTTTTATACTATTAATAATTCTATATTGATCTATTGAAATTTACCATCGGCAGCTGTCAATGAATCGGTCAGAGGATTGAAATGAAGATCACCTGCAAGAACCATTGCTGTAACAAGCTCTGGTGAAGTGACAAAAGCATGTGTATGCGGATTGCCATCATTTCGTCCAGGAAAATTGCGATTATACGAACAAACAATTGTATTCTTCTCGTTATTCTTTACATCTTTTCGATCCCATTGACCGATGCATGGACCACAAGCATTTGCCAAGAGTACACCACCGATGGCACGAAGTTTATCCGCCTATATCAAATCAAAATTAAATACAAACATAGAGAAATGTATTTTTTTCAATTACTGACAACTCCATCGCGTTCGATTGTTGCACGAATTTGATTCGAACCGGGGGTAACAACAAATTCACATTTAGCTTTAATACCTTTATCGATGGCTTGCTGAGCAATACTTGCTGCACGAGCCATATCTTCATAGGAACTATTCGTACAGCTACCAATCAGACCTATAAATAAATGGTTCATTTGTTTAAAACAAAATCTATCAGTGGAATATAAAATCAATGAACTTACCAACACGAATCTCGGTTGGCCAACCATTTTTGACAGCTTCTTTACCCAATTGACCGATCATATGAACTCGATCGGGTGTAAACGGACCATTGATATGTGGTTCCAGCTAGAATAATTTCTCCTTTTAGATTCTCTACCGATCTTAAAATTGATATATTAACCTCAGATAAATTAATACTAATCACTCGATCATATCGTGCACCTTCATCGGCTATCAACAAGATATCCTTATATTTATCGGCCAGTTCAGCAACGTCTATGATTAAATTTGTTTAAAAATCAATAAATTTCATTGGAAAAACTACCTTCCCGTTTTGTTGCATTGAGATATTCTTTCATGCGTGAATTGTAGGGAAAGATCGATGTTGTTGCACCAATTTCAGCGCCCATGTTACAAATAGTACCCATGCCTAAAGAACAGTATGTTGTGTTTGAGAAAGTTCGTCATCGTGTTGTTACCTGTGCATGAAATTGATTCGACACCTGGCCCGAAATATTCAATAATTGCTCCAGTACCACCTTGAACTGTTAAAATACCAGCTAATGCCAAGATAATATCTTTTGGTGAAGACCATTCATTCAATTGGCCCAGCAATCTCACGCCGATGACCTCAAAATATCATTTCACATTCGTCATCTCAAGCATGGATCGATTCTAATATTCACTTACTTTAGGACATTTCACTTCCCAGGGCATATTAGCCATGACATCAACTGCATCTGCGCCGCCAACACCAATACATAAACCACCTAAACCACCACCATTTGGTGTATGACTATCTGTACCGATTAGTAACAAACCGGGAAAAGCATAATTTTCAAGAATAATCTAAATCTTATAATGAATATCAAGTCTGTTTGTTATTTTATCTCACTTGATGAATAATACCACTACCCGGTTTCCAAAATCCAATACTATATTTAGCACAAGCAGTAGCCAAAAAGTTGTAAACTTCTTTGTTAATATCCTAAAACCAACAAATTATTGTTTTGCTTCAAAATATCTAAAGACAGTCACTTTTGCACGTTGCATATCTTTTTCACCACCAAGTTGAGCTTCGATTAAATGATCACAATGGATTGTTGTTGGACAGAGAACTTTCGGTAGACCAGATGAAATAAATTGTAGAACAGCCATTTGTGCCGTGGCATCTTGCATGGCTACACGGTCAGGACGTAGACGAAGGTACGATTTACCACGTTCGAATGACTTAATCAAAACGACATTGATTTTCAAATTGAAAATTTTCCATAGTTTTTATCTAGTACTTTTACATAGTCAGCGCTTCGTTTTCAGAAATGAAATAATTACTGATACTGCTAACTGCATCAGATTCACTTAACTATGTGAAAGCAATTGAAGAAATCAAAATTTTTCTTAGAGTGGTGTCAGCCTTTTTCTCTCTCTCTCTCACGGAATGACGACAAAAAAGACGTCTTAAAAAAATTTCAGTCTGTGAACTCGAATGTTTGCTGAAAGAAATAAGTACAATATTTATGACCTTTTAGGTCAAATCAATTGTAGGAAATAAATGTTTGAAAGTTTTATTGATCAAAAGTATTTTTCCGTGATCTAAAATATTGCAATTCTACTCATTCTCTTTCATACCTGTTTATCAGGTTCGTCGGCATGTGAATAGAGTATCTTTTCAGATAGTGTCAATGGACGATTCAATCTAGCAGACAAATGGCATTCAACTAAAGTTACAACGAGATGGTCAACCTACCGTTTTCGTACGATCTCCAAATTTTGGATCAATTTTTCGTAATCGATTAAACAACGCATTGTTACGCACGAAAAGTAACACTGATATACCCTTGTGTAAAAACCGAAACAAAGTTACGAATGAGCAGTTTTGCCCTTTATCACCACATGACAAATACACCAGCGTAAATTTTCTTTCTTTTTATTTACATTCAAGGCATCGCTTTTTGATTAGTCAATCGCGTTCGCTGTATAGTAAATATTGAAAGAAATTGCGCTAAACGTGTCGCTAACTGTCTTTAACGGGTTATAATTATTATGAGCTAAGCTCGATTAACGCATTAGTTGCGTATCTCTAATTTATACACATAGTCACATCCTCTTCCATTGCTAAAGGAGCTTTGCATTATTTTCTTCAGGTTTTCTAAATCTGTAATAGAGAGTGAAGAATCAAAAAAATTTATTTAGTATTTTCTTCGCAAATAGGTGTGTCTCTGAGAATTAGAACATTTTTTCATAAACGTCGATCGATGGAATAAACCAATAATTTCCAGTAATTGGTGTTGAAAAATCCATAATTCGATCATAAATTCCATCGTCCATTCCAATCATACTATTGAGTTGTCTTTCATGTTTATTTGGATTCGAAGCATATGAAATAAAAAATAGCCCATGCTCTTTCATACCTCCATAAGGTAAAGATTGTCTAACTACTTTGATATCCACACCATTCTCTTTTAGATCCGTTCGTGATATATGAGATGTGCTAATTTTTGGTCTGATCTTTTTACTTTCTTCTCCTTTCGTTCGTCCGATTACATTCTCTTGTTCTGCTTGTGATAGCCTAAAAAAATATAAATTTTGATTCAATATAAAATTGCCATACATTGTCAATATACCGAGCCCATTGATTAAGATTATGCTTCCATTTTTGTGTTAATGCAAATGATCCTCCAATATGAATCGGAACATCGTCTCCCTCACAGATAAGTGCAGCTTTAGCCTAAAGCAGAAAGTTGCAAATAATACAATATTTAAATCTACTTGAAAGTATACTCTGAGTTCATCTCCCTTTGGATTTTCGTTGCCATCTTCGAAACCCGTAAGATCTTGAGATAATCCATTTGTTTGTGAGCTCATATATGAAAAGCCAAATGTTTCATCCAATTCAATAATACAATCATCAGGAATAGATTGACAAAATTGTTGACCCAATTCAAAACAAAGATCTTTTCGATCACTTCTAATATGAAGCATTAAGTCACCTCCTAAAATTTTCCAATATCAAACAAAATCATGAATATTCAAGTTACCTGTACATGGCATCGTTTTTCCAGTCGAACTATTTTTCTCTTGAAATTCTATAAAAACTTTCGGAAACGAAATATCTGCTCGTGCAAGCCATTCTTGAGTTTTAGAATACCCAATACCTAATGTTGCCTCTAGTCTGCAACCTGGATGTAATTGGCTAAGTGATTCCTTTATTTGAGGTAATTTTCGGCATGCTTCTCTAATATCATTATCATATTCATTGGTCAGATGAACTAAATTGATATTAAGAAAAAATCAACTCTCTTCGCAAAGCTTGACATACATACGGATGATGTAAAGTCCGTGCTCATATGGATTGAACGGTGTTAAAATTCCAGTTTGGCAATGGTAAATATTTGAAATCGCAGCACTTTGCTTTTGAATATCTTTCGCTATTCGTAAATCCTTGGCTGGGGAACTTTTGTGATGACCTTCTACAGAAAAATTTTATCAGAAAGAAATTATGCGAGATCAATGATGAAATACTCGAACAAGTTTAGTTATTCAGAAAATTAGTGATTTATATCATAGAAATTTTTGCTTACCGTTTATCGGTTCGATTGACTTTGTCAATGCTTTTTTCTTTAGTTTGTCGAAATAGCTTGTTTCATTCATTTCTGAAATTTTTTGATCTCTATGAATACATTCTTGATTTTTTCATCTTTATAATTCTGTGTTGTTTGTTATGTCATACCCATCAATTGAAAAAAAAGAATAAATAAAGGTAGTAATGACGCGCTGCTTAATGTCCTTTGTACTGAAGGTAATGATAAGATTTATTTTCAAGTGTTCTTTATATTTCGTTTTTCGACGAATCGAATCAACAACAAGATAAGAAATGTGGCACGTTTTTTTTTAATGAAAAACTATAGAAACCAAACACTGCCGACCTAGCATGAATTTCTTTTTCCGCAGTTAAATATGCAAATATGTTCCAAGTTTCGTCTATTGTCCCAAGAAGGGTGTGGGCGATTGATAATATCGTCTACTTCCACATTTATCATCGAATAATCGAAAGAAAAAAGAAAGAGTACATTTTATCATTTTATATTTATCAAGACATTATCCTCTTTGCTGTTTTTTTTAAATAAAATAAGCAAAGAAACATGCACATAGGTACACGAAGAGAAAAACGAAACAACTGTTGAAACACCAATTTGTTTTTTTTTCCTTTAAATTTTTGAAATATATCAAGAAACAAAAGTGAGTGAACAAAAAGAAATTTACATGTCCATGATGGGATTTTGTACGACTAGTTCATCAAGTACCAGATCAAATTCAAGTGGACAATCAATAAATGGTAAAGCAATAAGATCAAATGGTAGAGTAAATTTTTCGACTTTAGTCATAGATGAATGTGTGGTTTCAATGGGTAAATTTAACTCATTACTCTGTTCTCGCGCATAAACAAAGGCAAGTTGATCGATTGGTACTAATAATAAATCAGGTCTTGCTTCTAATTCTCGAGATTCATATTTAGCTATTATACGTCGACGATGATCTTCAACAAGATCAGCAACTTTATTGTATGATGCACACATAGTTGCTAGATCGGATGTAAATGTTGTTGACTGTTCAATATTTGATGGTTCACATAGTTGTTGATCATTATCACTGTCATCATCTTTTTTTTGCCGTTTCTTTTTTGGAACAATAGAAACAGTTAACGATGGCTCAGGAATGATTGTAGAAACAGGCCAAGAGCTTGTACTAATTATAGATGACGACGATGAGGATGATAATGGTGATATAGGTGAGCCTGCACTACTACCATTTTCCCAATTACTATTCGCAGGTATTAACGTTGACGATGATCGATGAATAAGCGATTGAAGTTTCGATGATGAACCGGATTTAACAATAGGATTGTTGGGAGATGAAATTTTTCTTGAATATTGAATAGAACTAAAAATACGAAAGAAAAAAAACTATAGTTTCATATTTTTTCTATAAACGAGTTTAATACTATTGAAAAATTTCAATGAACATGATCTTGCTGTACTCAAGATATTCAATAGCCACTTACACAACATGAATATCGGTGCTTTTTTTCTACCTTACACTCTATACATTGATCATCAGCTAAGAATTATAGTAGACGTATGTCACAACACAGTTAACACACTACCGAATGGATCATTTGATATAGGCAACTACTAGTCGTAAGACATGATGACCTCAATACTGTCATCTATCGAAGAGTTCCGATGTTTTATCGATTGAAATATCAATCATTTTGGACAGAAACCTAAGTGAATTTCTCATACTTTACTACACTATATTCTATGAAAAGAATTTGAAAGCGTTTCTTCGTTAGTTCAATAGTCTTGTGCCACTCATATGATCAAGTCAAGTACACGAAATCCTTCTCACTGATACAACAAATTATGAGACTTCAAACTGACTTTGTATTCATATTAATCAAATCTCTTCCATGGTGTAAAGCTGAATAATCGATTTTAGCTGGTTCATTCAGACTTTCATCAATGATTCTCTTTTGTAAAATAGCATGAACAGTTGATGTTTCTGTTGACAGTACGTGTGGTTCATTTTTTTGCATTTCCATTAAAATTTGTTGTGTAGTTTTTAAACGCGGTAGGCTGCCATTTGTTTCAGTTAATAGAGCAGGTGAAATAGGCGTTGGTGTTTGAAGAACTTGAGTTTTCTTCCGTTTAGCATTCGTTCCACCATTGACTATATCTGAATCGGATTCATGTTTACGTTTCTTTACGGGAGAATTTAATTTAACTCTGAGTATGAGGCGAGGTTTTGTATCACCATTGGTTGGTGATAATGTATTCGACGATACATCAGTTTGAGAAACATTCAATAGACCTTGCCAAGATCGAAGAAGTTTCTTTGCTCGTTGAGTTATTTCAATAATTAATTCTGGATATGTTTCAGTCGATGAAATAGTTTTTTTTCGTGCATCTAATTTTTGACGAATTGTATTTATCTCACGACCAAGACGTGTTGCCTGGAAAAGAAAAACAGAAAAACAAAATTCCATTTATTTAACGGAAACTACAAACTTGTAATTGATCCTTTGTAATTTCCATTTTTTCTAATTGACAAATAATATCCAATACAGTTTCAGGCTTAAGAACCTAAAGAATATGTTTATTTAATGGTTAATGAAATTTTATTTAAAAAAAAAAAAAAAGTCATTTTACATTGTATTCACCATCGACAGCACACAACAATTTATTTTTGAGCGTATCGAGTGATATCGAATCAGTTTGCATTGAATATTTTTTATTAATTAAAGAGAAAAAAAGTCAGGTTGGTAGTAACAATAAAAACAAAAATCTTCATATCAATGTCTTTCAATATTTGAGTATATATACATGCTACAAAAAAATTTCATTGAAAAATAAAGCGAAACAAAATGAGCGAACGACTTTTTAGACAAAAGACAATACAATATACAATATGCAAAAACCTGAACTAGTTTATTCTGTTCTGTACTTGCCTCACTCGTTCGAAAAAAAATTCGTTAAGGTCATTCGTTATTTAATAATAACGAATCAAAATGAAGAAAATATGTCTCTAACACACCAGTACATACGACAGGTGCCGCTAAAACACAAGGTAGGAATTTCCTAGATATTATTGAACCGTGTTATATGATTAGGTACAGTGATAGTGAGTGCATATGAGAGGTGTTATGAGAAAGATTACAAATGCACTCATTTTTCTGCATTAAACTAAAACAAAATGCTTCGTATTGCTGTTGTCAATATCTCTTAACTTGTGTTATGTACATATTGTATTTTATTTCTCTTGCATTATTCGTGTTCGTCGTATACATTACATGAAAAAACTACACTAATGAGTCTCGACAGAAAAAAAGTAATAAAACCAATTACGTCAAATTCAATGATATATAAAAAGCAGCGAACGCTTTATTCTCATGAAAACAAACCTGTTCAACAAGAAGTCAGAAATGAACGAAACAAGTAAAAATTGTCATCACTATCTTCATGTAAGACTGAGATCAGGAGCAAACAAAAAAAAGTTGATCCCATATACATATGCACTCATTGCTATTCTATTAAACTGTTGTTTTTTAAAGTATATCTACTAAAACACAATATTCGTGTTCAATATCATTAATTATGTGTGTCATATGTAATTTATCTACTCGCTGACTGATAAGATTAATTATTTGCAGCACTATTAAAAAGTCATATTATTGCCAGCATACATGCATCTTATTAATATTAACATAATAAATCAATTTAACAGATATTCTATTGAGTATCTTAATTAACGTCAATAAAAGATTCGCTGCTTTCAAAATAACAAGAACAAAGCTATTGTGACAATGAAATGTTCACTATTGACATTTTTTTCTCAGAAATTATCTGTTCCGATAGTTAAATCCTGACCGACTCTATCTTTAATTAGCGTATTTCTCATAAAAATTGCTTTTGCACTTAATTTTTTCTCTCGCTTGTAAGAAATATATCGACAGTCTTCACTATTATATTATTATATTATTAGTCGTAAAAATAATTTTTTATGATTGGTTCAGATTTTGCCATTCACGTGCTCTCTTAACCTCTCTGACGATTTTTCTCCATGGTGTCACTGACATCCCGTAAATAGCAAAACAGTCGTCATAGTTTCCATTAGTCTATCATTTTTCTGTTAGTTGAGTGTCAGTGTTTGCGTGTGCACCAACTGTCATAAAGAAAATCATGTCTTCAACATCAACATTAGCATCGACTCAACAAGCTGAGATTGAAGAGACAATAAAACGAATTCAAACTCATAAAGGAGTCCAAGGTTTTATTTTAACAAGCAATGATGGTATTTTACTATGAAATTTTACTAAAACGAAAAAAGTATTTTCTTGTTTTTGTTGCTAATAAACAGGTAGTTTTGTTCGTTCAACTATTGATAATTCAACAACAATGTCATTGACAAGTCTCATCCGAACACTTTCGGATAAAGCGAAAAGTTGTGTTCGAGATTTAGATCCACAAAATGATTTAACATTTTTACGTATTCGTACGAAAAAACAAGAAATTCTTGTTGCACCTGGTAAAATCATTAAAAAATAGATAAAATTTATCTTCTTCTATTTAGATAAAGATTATTTGACCATTGTTTTACAAGCTCACGAACAATCATAAACTTTTATATCTTTTTTTCTTAATTTTCGCCTTATTTTGCCGTCCGTCTGTTTTTTTTTCAAAAATGATGATTATAATCTCATAAATAATGACTCAATTTATACACGAGTTTTTCATTTTTTTCTAGATTTGAATTTTTATTTCAAATGACACAGGTTCTGAAAAAATTATTTTAAAAATTCATATATCTTTTTCATATTTCAGGCAGAGGTTGATGATACATTAAAACGAATTCAAGAACACAAAGGTGTTCAAGGTTATTTAATTATTAATAATGATGGTAAGTTTAAGACTAAAATAAAATCATTGAAATTCATTGATTTGTGTATTTTTCTTTAGGTATTCCAATTCGTTCAAATTTGGACGCATCATTAACTCAACAATATGCAGCACTAATAAAATCTTTGTCTGATAAAGCTCGTTCGACCATTCGCGAAATCGATCCATCAAATGAACTTGTCTTTTTTCGTATGCGTACAAAAAAACATGAAATTCTTGTTGCTCCTGGTGCGTACATAAAACGAAAAATCTCGATTATTTATGTTCACCAATTTTTTTTATTCGTTTAGAAAAAGAATACACAATGATCGTCTTACAAGCAACTGATGTTCAATAGCTTTTTTCTTTTATGTTCATATCTAGGCGTCGATCTGTCGCTCAGTTTTATTTCCATAATAAATATAAAACGAACGAAAGACTATCTTGATAAAAAATTAATTTTTATTCTATCAGTTATAATTAAACTAGACCATTATATTCATGCTGATTATGTTAATTCTCTAATGCTTTGGATATGAATTCTCAATATCTTGCTAATCTTAATAAATCGCTTTATTTATTGTGACGAATTCGCAATGAGCCGCTGACCGTATTATCTTATATAGTGCAATCTGTCTCAACGGACTTTTTACACGAAAATTAATCATTCAGATGGCTGTTCGAAATATCTTGTTAATGATTAGTTACGTTCAAGTAGTAAAGCATTTTTTTTCTTTTTTCTCAATTAATCACTTGTATTTTACCTTTGATTTCTATACTTTTCTCTATGATTAATATCATAAAATACTTATTTTATTACCTAAATCAACAGTAACAAATATAATTTCTTCGCGCGTGTTAAATCATTTGCATAGCTTTATTGATCTGAATGAATCTAGTGCATTATCATTCGTTTTTATGTCAAGCTATAAAAAGAAGTGAAGAACAAAATAAACAAACGATGCAAGCAATGATGCGTGCATTGCATAATAGTCACTTAACCAAATATATCATCAACACAATATTTTGCTACCTTGAGAGAAAAAATACAGAAACTAAATAATGGAACCATCAGAATATACAGTTGTTCTTCATAAACGCTCCGATCAACAAAGTTTTGGTTTATATATCGGTGAGGATTATCCTTTTGGTGTTTATATAATTACAATAGAACCTCATTCACCAGCAGCAGAGGCTAATGTACATGCAGGTGATCGTATTATTTCTGTCAATGGACAAATGGTATCAAAAATGTCAACGAATCCAAAAGAAACGGTATCAAATATAGCAAAAAGAGCTCAACGTTTAACATTGTCTATTCAATCGTCGAATATATATGATTTAATTGATAAACCATCAATGATTGATTTTAATAATAATAAAACTACTACTACTACTACTAATAATAATAATAATAATAAATATCGATATGATGCACCAACGCAAAGTCATGGTCTTGATCAAAATCTTGAAAAGTATAGAGTTTACTTTTAATTATTTATAAAATTTATCTTGATATTTATTCAGCTATATTAAATCACTGTTTTCTGCAGAAAATTTACAAATTGTTCGTGCACCCTCAGGGAATCCCTATGAATTTGTATTACTATCTGATCGAAACTCATTTCAACCTACTCTTCGTAACACAGACCGACACAATGAAACAAAAGAAAAAATTCAAACACCAATAGACCAGAAACCAAAAGAAAAAATTCAAACACCAATAGACCAGAAACCAAAAGAAAAAATTCAAACACCAATAGACCAGAAACCAAAAGAAAACATTCAAACACCAACAGACCAGAAACCAAAAGAAAACATTCAAACACCAATAGACCAGAAACCACAAGAAAACATTCAAACACCACCTCAACAGCAAGTTACCCCTAGTAGAGGTTTATCTAATTTAATTCTACGCAATCCACTAGCAGCAAACGCCAACGAACCTAGTAATTCTCCAACAACCAATTCTTTACCAATTACTCCGCCTATAATAAAAAATCCAGAGCCTGGTCCAGGGGAAACAGGTTTGTTTAAAATTTATTTTGTTAATTTATGAATTCATCTTCTTAATAGCTAAAGTTAATCGAGTGAGTTTTCTTGGAAATCAATCAGGACCAGAATTTTCTCAACAGCAACAACCCGGGTCAGTGTATCCTCAACAACAACAACCAAGGACAGTGACACTTAACAGACAAGCAGGACCTACAGATCCTAGCGAACCAGGACCAGTGTATCGTCAACAACAACAACCAAGGCCAGTGGCACCTAACAGACAAGCAGGACCTACAGATCCTAGCGAACAACCACCATTGACAAATACTCCATGGCTACGCGAAATACATTTGAAGCGTGCACCGAACTTGAACTCTTTTGGTTTTGATGTAAAATATAATCATATGTACTATCTTGTTACCGCTATCGAACCTAATAGTCCAGCTGCACAATCTGGCCTTCAAAAAAATGATGTTATACAAAAAGTAAATAATCAACCAGTAGAAAACATGTCTCATACAACTTTCCTTGATATTATGAGCATGAACAAAGAAGCTACTTTATTGGTTCAAATACTTGATGATTATTTGCTAAGGAATCCTGCAACACAACGCCCCATAAGTACTGTATCAACAACGACTACAAATGGTGACAATAATAAATCTAAAGGAGATCAACGAAAAAGTGTTTTATCTAGAGCATTGAGCAAGTTTAAGAATCGTGAATGAAGTTCAGTTTAACTTCAAGTAGTTTGAGAACAAGAAAAAATTATTTAATGATACACATATATGAAGAAATATATTTTGTATGAAAGTTCACGAAAGATTTTCAATAAATATTTACAATGGCAAAAAGAAATCCATATAAAAATTTCGCAAGCTTCTATATTATTATTCAAAATATTGTATCACTGCAATGGTGAACAAGTTATTCATACTTATTTGACAACGAAAATAACTGAATAACATTGATAGGTACGACGTCCGAGCCATTGATATTAGTGATACTTACTGTACATAGTTTCTATGAAATAAATAAAACTCATACTATAATAATATCAAAGTCTAGATAGATCATTAATTTTCTTGATTAAAAATTTACTCAATGTTTATGTTTATAATCACACTCATTAAAAACACCTTGATTAAGATTATTTAAATCGATTGTTGAAATAACATTTGGAGTTCTTTGTGCTAATATAATTATAGTACCAGTTAGTGATGCAGTAGTAAAAATAATCAATAGAATACGATCGAATACTAAAGCAACATGTTGCCAATCATGAGCATTCTAAATAAATCGAAATAAAATTTGAAAATAATGATTTATCAATTTTCTACTTTGTTTCTTGTTACAGTTCGATTAAATTTTGTAAAAATTAATTCAAGTTCACCTAAATGAAGTATTTTTTCTAACATAATTGAAAAAATACTATCAAACGTATTATCTCGTGGTATTTTCATGAGAATTTTTGTTTTATTTTGTCTTGTTTTCTTAATTTCATGTTGTTTTGATGATGATATAAATAATAATGGTGATAAAACTTGAACAAATAAATGTTTCATCCATTTTGGCATTGATTTTTTATTATTTTGTTCTCGATAGTATAATGCAAGAGTAATTATTGTATTAAATATTGATAGTGCTACTAGAACCATTATAAACAGTAAATATTTTCCTAGCAGAGGTACCATTATAGATGTTGATGGAATTAAGTCAGCGAGTAACGGGAAGAAAACTGTCAAGGCTAATTCAATACTGATACACAGGACAATTTTTTCGCCCGATTGACTCGGCAAGTAGAAGACAATCAATGTTAATAATGATATACCAACACAAGGAATTATTAAATGAACAATATAAAATAATGTTTTACGCTTTAATACAAGTGCATAGGTGACATCATAATAGGGTTGTAAACAGCAAGTATATCTTTTTTGATTACGTCTAGCTGGCGCACGAATAATTTCCCATTCACCGTTGGGATAATAATTACGAAAAAATATTCCTTGAGAACGATCATTATCAAGTGAATCGGCCATTTCAATGTTATCATAAACAATATGTGAGAGATTTAATTGGTTTCCATCGTGTCTATAGAAGAATTTTGTAGATATAAAAGAGATAGAAGAAAGAAAGAAAGATATTTTTACTTACGTCCATGAACCAAATTTAAGCGAACAGATTTGTTCATCTAAATATTTTTAAAGGTTGACATATTTTGATTTCAAGTAGTTCCATACTCTCTCTCTCTCTCTCTCTCTCTCTCTGACATTAATTTTGTTTCTGATGACGAAACGTACGATGTACTCTACGACACTATTCAAATTCTTATATTTAAATTATTTTCTCAAGTAAATGGCCTAATTTTTTGTCTTTATTAGATTAATCATGACAGAATTTCTCCTTTGAAATAAAAATGAAATTCTATCATTTACTTACCAAATGGAAAATATTGAACATTAATAGGACAACTACTTTTAAATATCATCGGAGGTTCCCATATAATAGCCCCCGATGGGTACACTGACGCTTTTGCTAATCACAAAGAGAATATTTCTTCAAATTAATCATAATGAAATAAAGCCCTACTCTTTAATTTTACTTGATAGTCTCCATCAGCATTATTATACTTGAATATATAGAAAATAAAAGCATTGAAAAAAACTCACAATTACTTTTGTTAAACAAAACAAAAAACACATACCAAAGCAATATCAGGTAACCATAATTCTTCCGATGCAATATACATTATACAAATATTCTCATACATACTTGGATCCCATCTCAATCGATAATCAAACCATTCCTATTGATGCATTAATAAGAATGTATTTTCTTTCAAAATAAACATATCTTACATGTTTCAGCCATACATTTGTTGTCATAATTTGACTTTTTTCGTCCTCAAATTAGCAAAAATATTCCTAGTATTCACAGCTAATTACAATCAATATCAAATCTTACGACATCAATCAATTGAGTTACACTTAAACTAATTGCTACATTCAAAACATCCATTGCATTATACGCAGGACGAACCTATCAAAGGAAAGGTCAATCTAACTAGATCTTTTATTCTTCTTCTCCAATCAACATTTATTTACTCGTTTATCATAATTACGCATTAAATCTTCATATAATTTTTTTGCTAAATCACTTGCATGAATATTTTCGTCTGTAGATAAATTTTTTTTGTGAAAATACAAGCCTTTGAAATCATCGAAAAAAAAACCTACTTGCAATCAATATAAACATAACAAACCATATAGAGTAATTATTCATCATGTTTCTTTTTTTTCTTTGTTCGATGCTCTTCTATAGGCAGTGAAGTGTTTGTTAAGTGTTGAAAGCGGAAATGACTAGTGAACATGACATTTTGTGGACGTGCTTAAAAGCAGCAGAGTACGATGTCCTTGATGATGAATTAGGAAAAATACAAGTAGTTATAGTCTTGATCAGAATTTGTTTTCTCTCTTCACATATCTTCTATATATAAAACAAGAAAGAAGCAAAAAAGAAAAACGAGACAGATTGCCAGATCATAAAAAGGCGAGAAAAACGAAAGAAAGAAGAGATGAACTCAAATGCAAAAGCACACATGCTAACTACATAAAAAAGAAAGCAAAACGTTCTTATTCGATATGTATATTTGTAGCTAAAATTTCTCCTGTTGATGTTGTTTGACAACCTTGTGAGACATATCGGCCTGTTTCATCGGCTTGTTCACGTAGGGATATTGCATTTTTACGTTGTGCCACTTTTTTTAGATTACGTCGGAGAACTTCAGCGTCGAGACCACCCGCCATTTTTGGCAGTGGACATTGTTCTTCATCAAGCGTTGGTAAACCAATACGACTATGTCGATTAGAACCGGTGGAGTTTATGAATGTCATCGGTGGAGATTGATTTCCATTTGAATTATTATTATTATTATTATTATTATTATCAATCGATTCATCGAGTCCACCGTTTGTTTCATTAGACATTTGATAAGCATTTAGATCTTGATCAATAGGTGTATATCCGTTAGACGGTTGAGAATTTTGATGTTGTTGTTGTTGATTTGTTGAGTAATGATCCAATGCTGGAGGTGATATATAACCACCATTACTTAATGTAATCGATGATAGATTATTTGTACTTGCCGAATGAACAATATGAGGTATTGAAGAATTTGAATTAGCTAATGAAATAGATGTCATTAATTGAGCAGGACGATTGTTTTGACGTGGCCAAGTTTTCAATGATTTCCACTTTGTTGAACCTTTAGAAATAGAAATCAATAGAAGTATTCTTGAGTAGACTAATTTTATTTTTCTATAACCCGATCGGCAATAGTCAATCGATCGAATAGCAATAATAAAAAATGTCTTTTTAAAAAGAAAGTTATATTTAGAACTCATTAATATTAAGAAAGCAAACTTCAAATCTAAAGATATTTGCTTCCATAATAGATGATGCTCTTTACACACAAAAAAAGGTATTGTTTACCTTCTTTTGGACCAAGTATAGCATTAAAGTTCATTGAATCGCCGGGATTAAGAACACATGTAAGATCATTAAATGTTTCAAAATGGCATGATTGTATATCGAAAAAAACTTGCTCATTATTTTCCATATTTAAAATTCCGTATTTCGGAAAAATTCTTATAACAACACCCGATGCTGTCATAGATGTTGATTGTTGAGATTGAGGTTGAGTTTGTGATAATGGTGTTATTACGGTTGATGATGATGATGATGTTTGAAGATTATCATTTTTATTTAATAAAGTTCGTGCCGCTTCCGATTTCACACTCACCGTACCATCTATGTGTAATTGAAATACGGCATTATGCCGTTTAAAAAATGTTATAAGATCATCTCGAGTAAATCCAATCAATTGAGCAAGATGATCAGGTGCACGAGCGATTAATCCAGGTACATTTTGAAGTAGAATACGACCACTTTTATGTAATGAACGCATTACATAATGCACAGCTTTAACTTCGTTTGGTGTTAAACGTTGATGTGTATTTCGAGTTATGGCCGTCGTCATTGTTGTTGTTGCTGCTGTTGTTGACGATGATGATGATAGTGATGAAGACGATAGTAACATCGATGGATTTATACTATTTGTTGGTGTACTTGGCATTGATCCATTATTCATATTCATATTGGTATTACCAATTAATGGTCGTGTACCTGATTTAAAAGATGTTGAACGTGTTAACATTAAACTATTTCCGCTAACATTCATCATATTATTATTTGATAATGTAACACGACGTTTTGGCGGTGGTGATGGAGGTGGAAATAGTACACCTGGTAAGTCTGCTTTACCCTAAATAATTGATGAAATGAATTTTTACTTGATCACTTTTTTCTCTTCGCTGTCTAGTTTCTTACTTTAAGACCACAAAATTCATCGCGAACAAGAAAAATATGTGGATAACGTAAAAGAAATACTTTAAATTCATTTTGTGGTCCAACATATTTTCGTACATCGGCAGATGCTTGTGATGCATGTCCAGCAACACTAACAATGGGTAACCATTCTTCTTCACGCTTTGATAATTGTTTCTTAAAAAAATTTATTGCTTCTTGTTCAATTTCACGCATTGTTTTAGCATCCCATATAGTTTCAGTATTATTTGTAATATTATTATTCGATAATGTTGTACTTGTTTCTGTTCCACCAGCAATTTCATTCGCCTCGCCAATCGAGGCGGATGAAATCGTTGATTTGCTTTTATTATGATGAGATTTTGCTGGATTTATTGTGCGTACTGGTGTTGCACTATTTGCTGATACGGTATCATTATTTACCGTAAATAATGATGGATACCGAAGCAAGAATTGTTGTAATCCTTGCTCATTACCGCCGACAGCACGCAACATTTGAGGTGTAAATGTTCGATCAGCGAAGCTATCGTAAAGCTTCACCATCGGCATGGCTTGATTGTTACGGATGAGCACATCAAGAATAAACAGAATTGCTTGATGAGCCACCTGATTAGATAAATAAATAAATAAATAGATAGACATAAGAAAATTAAAAAAAGAAGAAACTAACCGACGGCTCATCGATTGCTATTCCATGCGTCTTCTCGGCAGATACCACAGGAATTGGAACGGATGTTGTTGACGACAAAGATGATGATGATGTGGTTATATTAGGTGTTGTTGGCAATGAAAACATCTCCTCCTCCTGTAACAATAAAGACGACATGTTTCTTGTCAAATAACAAATCGACAGGAGAAGAAAAAATGATTCACACGAATATATAGGCAAATCATATTCAACAATCTTAAATTGGTCACGGATGAATGAATCATGCTACGGTCTTCTCAGTTAATGACACTTGCCAATGCATATATATATATATATATATATATATATGTGTGTATATATATATGTATATATATGCATATATGAATATATGTACATGTAACTATAGGCAAATGTGCACCTATAAAAATATCAATTAGAGATTTCTCACAGATTTTGACCTTCATTTTCTTTTCTCTTTCACTCATTCAATTCTATTGTATAATTGATGATGGGGAAAAGATAATGATAATAATAACAATAATAAGGATGATGATGATGATGACAAAGTTCGACTACATGTAGTTTTGTGTATGAGATAACTGCTACTAGAAGATTAGTTGTGCACATAGACACATACACACTTCTTTTCTTTCCTTTTCATTTTTGCTTCTCTCGTCAATTCTCTGTCTGTTTACTCGTTCTTCATAACAACGTCTTACTACTTCTGTATAGGACATGCGTACAAGTATTTCCATCTCTACAAGAAATACCAGTTCACGTTCACCAGAACAAGAAAATAGATGAGATGAATGTCATTTCTTTATAGACAAGAAGGTCAGAATGCCAAAGGCTCCATTTAATAATTGTACCATATTACTATTATTTATGATCTTTATGATTGAACTATATTCTTTCTTCGTTTATAATAGCCATTTACCTGTCTCTGTATGTTTTTATTTTATTTATGATGAGATGAGAGATGTTGGGAGGATACTGTTGATAAGTTAATACTTATAAATGAAAGTAATGTAAGTAGGCGAGAAAAAAAAGAAAGAGAGAGAGAGAGAAATGAATAAGAAGCAATTATTTTGAAATAATAAATAAAGTTGTGATGACAACGAAGAAGATGCAGACAATATATGTGTGTGTAAGTGATCTGATTACGAAGCAAGATGGTGAGAGCTTCGCGTATGGCGGTGTCGCCGATAATGATGTTGGACTATAGGCTGCTTCTTTCTTCTTTTCGCTTCGGTCTTTTTTGTATTGCCCTGAAAAGGAGAAAGGGAGAGACAGAGACAGACAAAGAGAATAGGAAGAAAAAATTGACAATATGATTTGTTCGCTCTTGCTTTATATGTCTATCGTCGTTGCTATTCTCTTCCGGCACGGTCAATCCCGTTTACTACGAGTGCAAACGAATAACTACGCATAAGAAACATCTGTTTATATTACGACCTACGTTTTACACCAGCAAAAAAGAAGAAAATATTCTACTTGTTTTTATGTGAGAATTAAAGGAAAAAGAAAAAACGAGAATAGTTTTTTGATTCTAAATAGATAAGAGTTGTCTTTCTTTCGGGTTAAGAATAGAAAAATATATTGATCAATTTTCAATATTGTTCTTATTAAAACAAAAGGGAAAAAGCTAAATCAATCATCTCCTGCATAATAGAACTGTCCTATTATGTCAAATAATAATATTAACTTCAATGAATAATGACTAAATCGGTTGAATAGCCAATGAAATGAGTCATTTTTAATCAGATAATTTGCTATGATTAAAAATTATTCAATTAAAAACATGTTTATCAACACGCACAATTTATCAACAATAACCTTTCAGTTAATTCAATATATTTGAAACAAATATCAATTTGATGGAGGTCGCTAAATTACGGATACATTATATATTCAAATAACTTTATGATGAATGATGTACTTCTATATAAGATACAATCTTTAGAGTATCCAAAGAGAAATCCATTAGTAAGAAATGTCGTTAGTAATGTGTCATCAAACTGATGGTAATGCAATAAAACGAAGAGAAAAATTTTTGTCACAGAAGCCCAAATATTAACCATACATTGATGTTAGATGATCCATCGTTGTTTTCTATACCATGCATAATATCTTCCCGATGAGTGTTTTCATGGTTTGTTTTCTTTCTACAGGCGTCTTGGTTATGGCCTTGCTGTTGTTTCTTCTTTATATGTTAACGCTAGTCTATCTCTTTTTTTTGTCATGGCTATTTGTTACTCAAAAAAATAGACCGAACAAAAAGCTACCAGAAACAGAAAACTCAAGGTAATATTTTATTTGTATCTTGGATATTGCTGTGTGTTTATCTGTTTGATCCGATTTCATCTTTAAAGATCATGTTATTACTATAAATGAATAGAGAAAAAAGCTGAGTTATTAGTTTCAATACTCGATATCAAAAAGGAATATCTGGAAATTGAATTAAGTACTTGAAAATGATCGTATCGATAGATGAAGTGTTGACTTGCATATACTTATTATTTTTTTTCTTTCTTTCGGAAATTATGTTGACAATTATATACTTTTCTTTCCTTGACAAGCAAAAGCTATGATTATCAAGTACTATTATCATATATGGATTAGATAGAATATGCCAAAATATGATAAACTACTAAAGAAAAGGTCGTATACGCATTTATTTGTACTTACAGAAGTTAATTCAACTCTATAATAAGATTTAATGAACTCATACTTTGAATCATACTTTTAAACAACGAAAATTACGATAATAAAAATACAAAACCAGATATATGAGTGTAACTTCGTGTTTATTTTTGATGCTATAAATGATTATTTTCAGTGGAGTCGGTACATGATGAATCAAAGAAAATGTAAGTTATATATGTATACTATCACCAGAAGATATTAGCTTAACAACTAGATCGATTAGTCTGATAAATGGCTTTCCAGATACAATATATGATTCTTCTCTGGATATCGATACAACATCTAACATTCAAATCGTATCACAGTCAATTGAGTATCATGTGATTAGATTTCTCTTTCAACTAGAAACGAATCCATCGATATCATCCATAGATCACCTAGAACCTCATGTCCAAAGTGGCCTATGGTATTACAGTGGCTCCTGCGACGTATTTTTGCATTGGTGAGATGCTCAATTTTAGCGCCAAGATATTCGCCATCTAAATGTTTTTCTATGGCATGAATTATTGATTCATCGTAGGAGACGGCTATCTTTGATTTGCGTCATCCTCCAATAATAGACCAGATTATGAAATTATATTATGTACCAGATAGATAATAATATCAATTGACATGATGTCACAGCAAATAGATATATCGGCTTTAAATAAGTTCATGATACGCAATGTAAAATATATTGTAGATTGCATAGAACTATGACTATGATGGATTTCTGAGCGTGACTCTCTATTGCAATTGAACTAAGCACGAAAAGTTATATAATTGAAACAGGCAGCGCCATCTGTTTGTCATTCATGAATGGTTTCGTTCAGCAAACGAATCAATTAGATCAATCAAAGAAAGAAAGAAGATCCAAAACGCTAGAATAAGACAAAAGAAATATTTAACTCAACAATAATCTTATTATTTTTCCTATTTTTAAGATGCTTTAGGAAACTGCACGAATATGTCAGAACAAGATAAATTAATTTTAGCTTTAATCGAACATCTTAGAAAGAAACTTTTACTTATACCACATTCAAATGACATGGACACTCCAGTAAGTTACTACTCGTTTTTTTTTTGTGTTTTTGTAATAGTTCATCACTTCATAAGCGATTCTGATTAGAATGACGATGAATGTACAAAAAAATTAATTGAAAATCGTTATAAATTAATTCATACCATGTGTCAAACTGCTAAAGTAATGGATTATCTTGAATCAAACGGCGTGGTACCACGTTCTATTTGCTCACGTATTCTTCATGTAAGTAAACCATATAAAGCAAAAGATTTTACTTTTTTGATATTAATTTCAAATAAAAAAAAATAGGAATATCGTGTACCAGAAGATCGAAATAGAGCATTACTCGATTTCTTATTCAGTCGTGCAAAAAATGCTTTTCGTCCTTTGATCGAAGCACTTTATCTATCCGGTAAGTCTTTTATTGACTTTCTAAAATTTTCAGTTCAATAGGTATGTAGAGCAATAGTTGACTTCACGTCACACAAACAATAAAATCATTTTATTTGAAGACGCGTAACTTCCAAGTACCAGTCCAAGGTACTTGATGAAATTTCACTAACTGGTCTGGGACATATTCTGCTAAGAAAAAAACTAAAGTCCTGTGAATTTTTTTTGTGGTATAGCATCCGCCAACTTTTGCACTACTAATTGACACATTATTTTAGGTAATGAACATCTTGTTCAATTGCTCGATGAAAATTTTCTCTTGAGCAACGTTCGACAACAAATCGATGCTGAATATCGGTTCCCAACGGCTGTTGGACGACATGTATCACTTCCTACAAGTGTTGAAGATGAAAAATTACGTAATTTCAATAATAATATCGAATCATTGGAAAATCAAATTTCACTTTTCAATTTAAATGATGTTGAAATAACGAAATTCGATGACGAAGTACAAATGGGCTTTGAAGTTCAATTATTAACATCGGATTTACTCGAACAATATCCTCAATTAGATCCAATGCAACGATCGAATAAAGTTTGTGATGAGTCAATTTTCTTTTTAAAATAAAACGGATTGTTTTTGTCTTCTCTAGTGTTATCGAATGTTGAGTCGACCTCGTGGTCAATGTTTATTAATAAATAATGTTGATGCATTTAAAACAATGGAAATTCGTCAAGGATCAGATATCGATGCTAGTAAATTAAAAAGTTTATATGAACAATTGGGTTTTGTTGTTGTTGTTCGACGAAATCTTATTCATAAAGTTTGTTAAAAAAATCAATTTCATCGTTTTCTGCTGCTTTAAAGAAACACTTTCGATTTAGGAAATGGTCAATGTCATAAAAAATTTTGCCGATCTAATTGAAGAACAAAAAGAGACATGTGATTGTGCTGTGATTATTATTTTAAGTCATGGCGGAAATGGAACGATCTATGCCGTCGATGAACTCGCATTAGATGTAAGTTGTTCAATGGTGCAAATTAATAGAAAACTGTCTTTCTATTTTACAAGGTGGACGAACAAATTATATCTGTATTTGATGATCATTTAATAGGAAAACCAAAGCTATTTATTTTGCAAGCATGTCGTGGATGTAAAGAATAATTTTGAAATTTTATGAAACAAATCCTTTTTGTTGTTTTAGCTCAATGTAATTATCGTTCGGAATCAGCGACTCGTTTATGGTCAACCGATAGCATTATCAATGAAACAAATATCGATAGTGGCAGTCATGTAATAACAAAAGTTCCCAAACGTAGCGATATGGCCATATGGTATTCAACGTTGAAAGGTGATTTTGGTTTATATTTACAATGAAAGTAAAATAGAAAAGTGAATTGTTTTAGATTATGTTTCATGGCGTTTACCCGATGAGGGTAGTGTATTTATTCAATCGTTAATTACAGTTTTTGCACGAACTGCGTGGCATTACGATTTAGTTACAATGGTTCAATGTGTAAGAGGATTAATTAATTTAAGTCGTTTTTAATTATCTATTCGAATTTTAGGTTAATCGTACGATGAAAGAAAAATTTGCTGCTCATGAGTCAACACCATTTCAAACGCCGTGCTTTGAATATCATCTTGATTATGTAAGTTGATAAAAAAAAAGTTCATAATTGATTTAATGCTTTTATTTATAGCCTTTATATTTCAACCCAGGTTGTTTCGATCAAAATTAAAGATTATTTCGTCTAGTCAAATATATTGATGTATTTTTTTTTCTTAATAAAAATCGACTTTGTAGAAATTAATCTATTACAAACTTTACATTATGAACAAAATCAAAAGTCAACATAAGTAATCTGGAATGATAGGTTTTTTATTTGTTTGAGAATAATCGAAAAGTCTAACATACACTTTCCTATATCATGTTTCTCTTATTGATCCACAGTAGTAAATCAAATTGTTTCAATAAAAATTTAGAAAAAATTGGTTTTATCATGAAGATAGAAATTTTCTTTTCTTTTAATGAATGATTATATAAGAGAAAATTTGTAATATGAATTGTAAAGAGTTTCTTTATTGTCTTTTTTTTTATAAACATACAATTGAACATGGGAACATGATTCACATTTGATAAGCATTTATTCTCTTGATAAATATTTGTAATTAAAGATCATGTCTCAAGAGAAATCACCTTCACACATTCCTTTTTCTTTTCTTTCTCGTTTTGTTTGACCTCAATTTAACTTTCCACACCTTCAACATAACTTTTTCTTTTGCACATATACGATCAAGGTAAAAGAGCCTGATATACTCTCTCATCAGATACTGATCGTACGAGGACATATTTCTCTATGTAGTCGAGGAGCAGACGACATCATAAGTCTCACGCCATTCTTGCTTCTCATTCAAGGTCATTATGAGCATATTAGACACCTATTGACTATGTTTTCCTCCTATATTCAAAGTCTTAATCTGTATAAATCGAAGTATTTATCTTTAATTCAGAATTGTACACCTATATTTAAAGGAACAAACTCTAGAAATGTAAAGGATTAGAGTTCTACAAACAACAATGAGTATCGATGAAAAGATAATTTATGCGTGTGAAGCCTTTTGTAATACAAAGAAAAACGAACGATGAAGAATATCGATCATTTTTGATGACGAAAAAAAGTGATTTAGTATACCAGCAGCTTTACTACTTCTTCTATAAGATGTTGTTAAGTAAAACACAAACGAAAAGTTTTAGGTGAATTAAGAAAGAAAGAACATAAAGTTACGTGAACGACGCAGAAAGAGAGAGAGAGAGAGAGAGAGAGAGAGAGAAAGGCTAAGATATATTTATATAAACATATGTATTTAAAGATGTCCAATCTTTTACAATTGTCCTCCAGTTGCAGCGCCGTTGTAGACAGCGACAGCGATAATGATGGTAGGCGACTATACAATACTATAGATAGACGAAGGAGAAAAAGATACATTCTTTATGAGCGTACAGACAAAATGTCGAATGAGGACGAAAAAAAGGAAAAAAAAAAGAACAAGAGAACAAAGAGGTATGTATACCAATAGTTGAACCATTTTAAAGTGTCATTAGTATTTGATACCTATCATTACAACAACGTCGAACAATTTTGTCGATAGTGTAATAGTATGCATGTGTTTATTTATAATAGTTCTGATGAAAAAAAGGGAAATATTTGAAAAGACATTATTGATTTTTTCCAGATATTATTCTGATTGTTTGTTTCATGTTAATGGCGTGTATAAATAATTCATTTTCTTCACATATATTCGTAAGTGATCTTCCATCGTACGGTCTTATTGGTCTTATATGTATTGGTCTGATTCTCTATTTCTCGTATATCATAACTTACCTTCGAAATGATCATTTATCAATAACAATTTACATAAATATATCTCAATTATTTCTATTTTTTGTCTTACTGAGCCCAATAACATTTCTTATTCGACCATCAGCATCAACAAAGCTGGTTTGTTCATTACAAACATTTTCATTACAAATTTTTCCTTTTTTTCTCCTACTTGGTTTTAATACTCATTTTATTTATCAATGGTTATTACGAACAAAAGAAAATTCTACTCGAAAAACTTGCCTCGTATCGATAAGTTCATTTTTAATATTTTTTCTTGCTATGCTAATTCAAACAAGCATAATTCTGATCTGGTTTTATAATCATCATAATTACCGACATCTTTATAATTCATGTACAGATGAATGTTATCGACCTTTGTTTCTTTGCTCATTAGCATTCAATTTTTTTCTACTATTTCTTTTCTCGCTTCAATCAAGTATACGATATCATTTGTTCAATTGTCAAACTGATCTTATTTATTTACTAATAAGTGTTCTTGCATTATGCGCGACGATTATATGGATTTGTTTGTATTTATTTATTCCATTAAGATCATCATTGACATTTTATATGAATAATAATTATATCCTTGCTTATGGAAATTTATTTCTTGTTTATTCATTTCTTGGACCTTTACTATTTGAACAACTTTTTTATCATCAAAATATCCGTAGTAAAGATCATTTACATAAGGTATGAGCTTTTTGACACGATACAGATTAAAATTAAAACAAACTTTTGTTTCTTCTTGTTTTAGCCTAGTAAAATGTCATTTAAATCTTTATCTTTGACAAAAGAGCAACAACGCGCATTCATGGCCGCTTATATTAAACGTAATTTAACAGCATCATGCGAAAACCTTACAACGGTGACAATGTCATCACCTATGCCAATGAATCGACAAATCAATCAAGATTTAACCCACACATGTCATTCAACACTGAGTGTTGATAGTTTATGTCCAACATTAGTTAGTACAATTTCGCATGGTACACCACCTAAAACATTACCAATTGCGACAACAGATACGTCGAGTTGTGGAACATTGACAAGTGAATATTTACTTCTATCAACCTCACCAATTTATGAAATGAAATAATCATATTTATTGAAGAGACATAAATAACCGGTGATGAATAAAATGTTGGATTGTTTTTTATAAAACGGTTCAGTCCCGTTCCATCGACTCATTTTTGTAGTCAATGAAGAAAAATTCTCCATTTTGTTCATAAATTTTTTTTTCTAATAGATCGACCTCCATAGAATAATAACGAATTATTTATTCAACAAGTTATAGTACGATCTAATAAAGAGTATTTAACATTACTCTTTGTTTCTTAAAATTGATCTCACAATACGTTTGTCATGATAAGAACTGTACAAGATTACAACCAGGAGAAAGACAAGTTGTTGAGATTGATATTATTCTATTGATCTTATCAATAAGAATAGAGTGTACAGAAAATAAAATTAATCATCGATTAGATAAATAAAAGAATTGAAGCTCATATATTTTCTATAAATGAAAAAATCCCAGATGTTGTGAAGAAAATTTATATTCTTATTACGACACGAGAAATCTTTTGCTATTTAAATTCCCAAGTGGACATATTTTCTTAGAGTTAACTAATTTGTCGACATTTCCTCCTACGGTTGTTGACGTAGCTATAATATGCATTGGGTTACAGTGAACCAACAGGTTGCCCACCTATAATTCTTCTTTTGTTTCTGTTTCATACTCGTCTGACTATTGCAAGAGTAAATGATAACTCTTTCAAAATGCTTCGAGAATGCCATTACGTTTTATTATTCATTTGTGATTGATCAAAGGAGAAAACAACTGATAATAGAATGACAAAGAAAAAAAAACATTCATATCGACGGAATGAGCTGATATATTTTCACAAAGTATTTGTCAATAAAAACTTTCAATAATGAATAATGAATTTTGAAGCTCTTCGAAAAGGAGTCAATAGAAAAAATGATATTCAAGGTAAAATTGAATGAACTGGTATCAATCAAAATAAACGAGAATATATATGTCTGAAATACTATCTACAGGTAGTTTTCATGATGAAGTCTCCAGTGTCCTATTTTGACGTAGATGAAAATAAGAGATTGGATATCATATTTATTAAAATTTCAAGAGTGTGAAGCATCTTAATAATAGTGTGTAGTCATTTTTGTAGATTTATTTCCAGCATACATATACACGTAGAGTTAACTATAAAAAGAAAGCAGAGACTCAGCGATTAAAAATTTAGTGCTTAAGTTTAATTTCAGTCTGATTCACTGTGAAGTATATTTGATAAAGGGACGTTGATGAAGTTAGCACAAGATTCGAGTTTTTCCAGCCCGGATTCGCCTATATGGTTGTGTTGAATTTCATTTTCGTTGTGTTGGAGGCAGAATTTTGTGCTGAATCGAATGGTGCAATTTTAGAAGGGGGTTACCGATCAAAATCTGGCACTTTACCTGGAAATACTGCTTTTTCTGAAAATCTTGTAGAAGTAATTCCAGCCCGGATTCGCTGCTTTAGCTGTGTTGGTTTTGGAAATGGTTGTGTTGAATTTAGAATGAAATTCTGCATCGAATAATGTTAAAGTTGTATGGGGTCATCGACCAAAGTTCTTCGACTTGGGTGGGGCTGGAATATAGATTTAGAGGGATGACTTGGGTGAGACCAGAAATTTTTAGATCGATGACCCCATACAAGTTTAGCATCATTCGATGCAGAATTTCATTCTGAATTCAACACAACCATTTTCAGATTCAACACAGCTAACGCAGCGAATCCGGGCTGGAATTACTTCTACAAGATTTTCAGAAAAAGCAGTATTTCCAGGTAAAGTGCCTGATTTTGATCGGCAACTCCCTTTAAAAATTACGCCATTCGATTCAGCGCAAAATTCTGCATCCAACACAACGAAAATGAAATTCAACACAACCATATAGGCGAATCCGGGCTGGAAAAACTCGAATCTTGTGCTAACTTCCCTAACGTAATATTATTCACTATAAGCCAAAACCAAAATAAAGTAATTTTCTGGAGATTTCGGAAATTCCGGAAATTACTATAATTTCTATATTAATATCCTATAGGTTTAAGAAAAAATATGTAAACAGATTTAGAGATCCGACCCTGAAGAATGAGAAAAATTTCTAGGAATTTCCGTAATTGCCGTAATTTCCAGATAATGGCGGAAGTACTCGAGAATCTACTCTGTGTTTTGGTTCTAATTTGCTTCCATTTCATTAGCTATTTGCGAAATTAACGGGAAATTTCTTTTTGTGTATGAAGCTGATTTCAGAAATTCCCAGGATATTTTTTTGGGTGGCACTTGAAATTATGGTATTTTCTAATAATTTTTTTTTGAACGTAATGGCAATTACGAAAGTTTCAAGGAAATTTCTGTTGGCACTCTTGTGCGTTTTCTAATAGTGTGATAGATATTTGTTATTTGCGGAAATTTATTCTTTCAGAAATCTGAACATACCTCAATCTACTTTAAAGAAAAAGCGCACTGTCTGATTTTTGAATGTATTCTTCTTTGATATCTACCACTCCTAAATAAAATAAAATAAAGCTTTGATCGCAATCATTAACGACTAAAACAGAACAGTCATTAAGTCAAATCTGTTTGTATCTGACATCCTCTTTTTGAATACCATTCAAAATTCGAATGCTTCAATTTATTTGATAGAAAAGATCTGTCAAACTTGGTATATTGTTAATTAAATGTCGGGCAAGAACCAGTAATTGTTTTTGATGACCGATTTTTTATACACATTTTCTTGTATTTGGCCATCAGAATCATCTACGTCATTATTTTGAACAGCATGAGGTTGTCATTGTAATTTATTCTACTTCTGTAATTTTAGATAGTGAAAGTATATTATTACATGAAGAAAGCCAGAAAGAGAGTTAAACAGTATGTGCAAACAGATATTTTTGCCAACCACACATTAATTAAAAAGCAGTAGGCCAAGAAGGGAAAGTTGAAGATTATACTACGTTCAAACGGATCATTTTCATGATTTCTAATTATGAGTCAGAGAACATGGGAAAACTAAAATTAGATCGTCACTCGAACAATTGCACTAGATGCAATCTTCGAAATAATCATTTTTACTCAGTATACGGCTTGCTGAGAATCGGTCTAAACATATGGATCTTCGCCATGAATAGTTTCAGTCACAGAAGACAATAATTTAAAGATACGGTGGAGTGCATCCAAAACAAATTGCCGTTATCTATACGAACTTTCTCGATCTTTTTTCTTGCTTATCTAGAGAGGAATATTCTAGAACATTGTCGAACATATAGGTTAGGTACTATAAATATGATGTAGGGTTACATTCTTTCCGAAGTCTCTATTGGTTAAATAAAAATGAAATTGAAAGTAAATAACAACCATCTATCTCCACATTGATCAGTGATATTACATTATTACAATCTGGGTCATCGTTGTGCTGCTGAAATTGCTCGACAAACAAAGATTCCTGTCCGTACTGTCTAGTATAATCTGGCCAAAATTAAGAAAGAAGGTGGAGTGGAACATCGACGTGGTAATGGTCGACCACGGAAGATCACACTTGAAGATAATCGAGCAATAGGGCAATGGGCTCGAAGAAACAATGAAATAACTGCTCAGAAAATTATTGAAAAACTTCAATCAAATCGAAATTTGACAGTATCTCGATAGACAGTGCAACGACAGCTACATCGTTTAGGTTATAAAAATGCTTTACCACGAGGAACTCCAATGTTGACAAATGAACAAAAAGAAAGATGTGTACAACGGGCATTGGCACATAAAGACGACAATTGCAATCGAACAGTGTTCTCTAACGAAACATCGTATCAATTATTCCGAAACACAATTCGTCGTTGGTCCAAAACATGCTCAAGAAGGAAAAAAAAGAATTCCAAAAAACAAACAAAAAAATCATGGTATGGAGTGCATTTAGCAACAAAGGTCAAATATCATTTTATTCGTTTCGAACAACAACGTGGATGGACCTCTCTATACCGAGATACTTCTAAAACATCTTCTTACTGGTGCAAGAAAATAGTTTGGGAGTCGTTGATGATACCAACAAGACAACGACCCCAAAACACACCAGTAAAATAGCTAAACAATTCTTGGAAAAGGAAGTACCCGAAACGATTGATTGGCCAAGTAACACTCAGCAGTGTTCAGACTTCCAAAAAAGGAAATTTCGGAAGTTTTGGAAATTTCAAGTACTTGTGTTCTAAATTGTTTGGTATTTCCCAAAATTATACAATTTCCGAAATTTCTGAAATTTCCAAAATTCTGTACACAGCGAAATTTCCGAAATTACAGAAGATTCCGAAATTTCTAAACTTTCAAATATTTTCAAAAACTTTTCATTTGCTTTGCTATGTAGTAATCGAGTTGATGGAAGCTTCGGAAATTTCTGTAATTTCCTTTTTCGGAAATCTGAACATACCTCGTAACACTAGCTTTGTACTATACTATATGTGTAAAATTTTGCAAAAAAAATTCTTTTTTTTGTTACTGAAAAAGAAGAAAAAATTCTGAAATTTTACGGCAATTGTTTTGCACACCACTGTAACTTGCATTGTGAAAGAAAAGAACTATCAGCTGTTAACTACTCTTGTCGCCATCTTTTATATCTTATGAATACACATATGTCTTTGATAGACTCTCATGATCTCATTAATTTCTTTTTTTTAATTTGAAATAATTATCACAGGCTGAGAGAATGTATAAAAGACTTGAATTATGACTCATACATCGAATAGAAATATCATTTAAAACGAAAGAATTGTATGTATACATGTCTAAGATAGTATGAACATTAGTGATTGTGCAAATTCCGTATTCTTTTTTTTTCGTTGACTACCAATGAAAGTATGTATAGATATATTAGGTAATTGAATTGCATAATTGATTGTGATAATTTCTCAGCATAAGAAGAATATTCATTGAACGATATACATTGGCGTATAATGAAATTGAATTATCTAGTTGAAGTTGATTCTCATTTTGTGTCATATACTGCAATTTAGTTTATTTTAAGTTTCATAATATTTTACTTCGTTTTATTATTCAAAGTCTAATAGTTTTAGAGAAACTAGAAACGATATATGTAACACTAGTATATTTTTGATTAAAACATAGAATATCAAGTTAAATACGTTAGATTAAACCGTTCCCTAACATTACAGCTAGAAGACACTACACGTGTATCATATATTTGATGATAAGACGAGGCTCAGTTTATTAATTGCTCTTTTAAATACAACATCTAGGAGATAAATATGTGAAAAGCGAGGTGTAAAGTTTTTAAAGTTAGTGTCTACGTATTTCGTGTAAAGCAGGTCCCATCAGATTTCCATGTGTTTGAACAATCTATGGTGCAGTATTGGCTCCAACGATGCCATTTATTGGTCTCACGGTGTTGTTTGTATTTCCATTCGTGTACACTCTGATTAGAACGCGTCTTGTCGATAGGAAATGCCGAAGGAGAGCTGATATGAGCTCATGTCGAAATGTTTTCGATATCATGAGATTAGTATAGAGCGAAGCCGATGTACTAAAATATATAAAAAATTGAGAGACCAAGTAAGTAAAAAAATTTTGTAGTTGAATTTGTTCCGGAGTCTTGTTCCATTTCAATGTAACCGAACTGTATATATTGCTCATTGGTGGTGGAATATTGGATAGACAATAGAGTATGACATCTACTAAAAGCATTTTCAGCAGTTGATGATCATGCTGTTTTATTCGAATACTCATCGGTGTAGTGGTCGCGGAATCCCTAATACTAGCATTATTTACTTGTACAATAGCCTGTCGGATACTTTTTCGTATGCCTCGCAAACTCCTAACAGCTAAAGCACTAAATACAATCATTATGCCGGGTGGCAAGGCTGCTCCGATCAACACAGAATAGGCAGCATTGAAATACAGATATGCCTCAGGAACAGTACATCGACCATTTTCGACTTTATAAAAAACTAGAACATGAATTGGTATAAGAATCCATAGACCAACAATGATGGCGATGACATAAGCGGCAATGCGAGGTTGACTAAAATTTCGAATACGGGAGTGCCGTGAACACATAGCATATCGATCAACACAGGCAAATGCAAGAATAAATCGAGCCGCACACAAACATGACGATAGAAAATAAGTACGAAACTTGCAGTAAGGTGAAATATATGTCGTTGGATCTTTGAAGTAAATAGCATACAGATTTGTACCTATGCTGAAATCCAAAAATAGAAGATATGCAATAGACGCAGCAACAAAGTAAATGCTGCAACTATTCGAACGCAGCGTCTTTTGTAGAAAGACCAAACAGTTGAGCAGATTACCGACAGTTCCAAGCGTGAGAAATATCGGCATCGAAATCAAACTCATTTTTTGCTGTATGCAGCTGAGTGTCAAAACGAATGGTGTTGTAGAATCAGACATTGTATGAGGTACTTCGCAAGTGATCGATGATAGCTAAACTTGAAAGTGAGGAAGATCATGAAATTGTTCGATTAATTTTTTGACAAATGTAAACATCAGCATTCTCCTCCCAGAGAGAGAGAGAGAGAAAGTGCGTATGTTTTAGACAATATTTATATCCTCGTTATTCCGGTGAAAAGGCGCAAAAGATAATTTCATAGGATACATTCTTGTTATTAAAGTTTCTGGTTACATGTGCCACAAACATAGATGAAAAATACGAAGGAATTCTACATCCACCAAGATATTTACGGTCCAAAAAGCACTTTAAAAAACATTTGTTTTAGCAATTGCTTTCAACGAGCTCTTTTCAAGAGGGGGAAACTGCAAACGTTCCACTGCACCTCAGAGTTCAAATCATGAAAGCCTATCTTGCAATGTAATTTTGTGACAAACTAGAATGTTCTATAGTACAGAGTTTTCGCTTTTTCCTTCTTAGCACCATCCCGTTTACAGAAAGCGATTTTTTAATATCAGTAGGCAACAAAATAGATCAAAATATAAATAGCATGTAGAAAACTATGTCTTTTGCTGTCCACTTAAAGCCGCACAATCAATGAGTCATTATTGTCGTATAGGTATTTTATTACGAAACTTTCAAACTGGCGTCCTCTTATGTTATAACTCGAAATAAAATCTGTCGTAGCAGGTTGCTAAGTAATGACGCTGCATCGCACAATATGCGATGTGCGCCGTCCGATGTTCGTTCTCTATGTGACGATGACTAGTGAAGCAATCGTTCTGTGTTGCTCTATACCTAGCCTAAGGTTAGTCATTCTCCGTTATTTGGCATCACGCGCGAACAAAACATTTATGACATATGACGCAAAAATAATGGAATGAGAGAGAAAACACGAGCAGGAAGAAATATATAAATACCTTGCTATTTCGTTAAGCTTACATAAGCATACTACTGTGTTGGTGGTACGTATTCACTGGCGGGGTTTCCTGAAGACTGAGCAGCTTTCATCATGCTTTATTAGTAATAAGTGTTTTATCAATAATCTGAGTATACTTGCCTCTGATGATTCCTCCCCATTTTTTACTTGGCATCTTGTATGGTGTTGTATTTATTACCTATTTTACATAGATTTTATTCTAATCATTGATTTTAACTGAACAAGCAAGCATAAGAAACGAATTATAACGATGGCAAACAAGGACGAACAAGTACAATTAGCAAAATTTGCCGAACAAGCCGAGCGGTACTATATTTATTTGCATAACGTATTCAATCTGATAATGTGCGTTTCTATGTAGATATAATGATATGGCGGTTATCATGAAAAGAGTAGCTGAGGCAAACGGTGAACTAACGAATGAAGAACGTAATCTGTTCTCGGTTGCCTACAAAAATGTAACGGGCGCTCATCGATCACCTTGGCGAGTAATGTGGAATATTGAACAGAAAATGAAAGGTACAGAACGTAATCGAGAAATGGCCAAAGAATATCGTGAAAAGATTGAAAATGAATTGAAAGATATTTGTCATGAGCTTTTGGTAAGACTTACTAATAATAAACAATCGTTCTGTGACAAAGATGCACGAATTTAGGGTTTGCTTGAAAAATATCTCATTCCGAAAGCAACGGCACCTGAATCTAGAGTATTCTATTTGAAGATGAAAGGTGACTACTATCGATATTTGGCTGAAGTAGCTGCTGGTGGAGAACGACAAAGTAATTTATTGAGCTCAGCTTAAAAGCAAAATAATTCTAAAAATATTGATTTCAGAAATGGCCGAAGAAGCGCATAGTGCCTATACTGATGCCCTCGACGTGGCTAAGAATAACATGGCAGTAACGCATCCAATCCGACTCGGTCTTGTTCTTAATTTTTCAGTCTTTCATTACGAAATTTTGAATGAAACGGATGCAGCTTGCCGCTTGGCCAAACAAGTCTGTTCGATTTTTCTGCATTTTTATCCTTATTCATCTGACTATCTATTTCATAGGCTTTCGACGATGCCTTGACCGAGATAGATTCCATCGATGAACATTCTTATAGAGGTAAGATAAAAAGAAATATTGATCGATCATAGATTGTCAAGCAAAATACTTTTGTCTCTTCTCTTTTAGACAGCAATCTTATCATGCAGTTACTCCGAGATAATCTTACTGTGAGTATTTGTAAACTGAAAAGTTCTTTATAGAAGAATTCATTTGTGTTTGAATATTGCAGCTGTGGACAAGTGAAGAATCTGATAGTGACCAGATAAATCAATCAGAACAACAAGAATAACTGAGCGGTGTATTTTTCTGTCGGTTTCAGCCTGTTTTACTTGTGTTAAAACAGATCGATCATTATTCAATCTGACAATGAAAAAAGACGTTTGTTCTTCATATATTTTCGTTTATAATCATGATTCTACTATTGTATACTTTTTTCGTTTAATTTTCATTTGTTTTATTTTTGTTTATTGATGACAACTCTCTTTTCTCTTTGTCTCTCTCTCGTGTCGAAGCCATAAGACGTAAATAAAGAATTTCCGAAATAGTGGTGGACAAAAAATGCACCATCTATACAAAAAGCTTATTTCGTACCAATGACTCTACTGACCTATACGAACATGCTGAACTTGTTAAACAAGCGAAATTAAACTCATTTCAAGCTTACTTAAGAGTCTAATTAAGTAGCTTTAACTATTCACAATTATCCTAACACATCGTTGTTTACTTGTTAAACACTCTCATACCTTCGAGATAAGAATTGTAAAAGAGCGATAAGCCAACTGTTTAGCATCCACGTTTTGGTATTGCGAGTGGCAAAATTAGTCTTATCATCTTTTATTGAACTGTTAGACCTATCATGCCAAATTCCGAGCTGTATTTATGTAATAGTTTTGCTCGAATTCTGAGTAATTACTGTTCATAGATTTTATTCTACAATATATTTAGTTTAAATATCATTTTATGTAGGTAAGACCGAAGGAATCGTTTTGAACAATGATAATAGAATTAGTAAATTTACTAATGTGTTAGTTTTTGATATTTTTTCTATTACAACACACAAAAAAGATGCATTAGCGGTTTCAATGCTTAGATTAAAAAAAATTCCCTATATCAAAGAAGGCTAAATTCATGACTGATACAAATATGAAACTCGAGAGTTTTACCCAGCCAACAGGTTTCGCCATCTATGATCTAGAGCGATATCTATATTCTACTATAAAGGAAGCATTTATTCAGTGGTTGTAAAATTCAGCCTCGATGAACGAATATCGTAGCTGAATTGCCAGTTAAAATTCATATGCTTCATCCATTTTGTATTCATCTTACCATATTGTATTTATTTCCTACAGAGCAACAGCTTTCTTCTTGATTTGCTATGATAAACTATGGAAAGAAGATAATATTTTTTCTTGGATGAGAGCACGAGTTACTCGTCAAATGATATGGTCTACTGAATAGCAGTTTCTATTTTTATACTAATATTTCGAATCATATAAAGTTAGTGTTTCATAGCAATGAAGCAACTTTGTCATCTACTAAAACCTCTGGTGAATGCTTATGTAATTTTATTATCATGGTTTTTAGCAATATTAAATTTATATCTCTTTGACAAACCACTGAGAGAGTATGCAGCGTCAGTAAATTTGAATGCACAACCAACGGTTCTTGATACAATACATTATTATACAGCAGAAGAAGGATATCAAGTGCTTTCCAATTTGGGAGATCATGGCCGTGATGCATATCGATTAGCTAATTATGCAGATTTCACTTTGCCAATTTTTCTTTTCCTCTCCTTATCTCTACCAAGTTTAGCTTTGGGAAAAGGATGTCTACATGTCATGGGACCATTTTTATATATGATTTCAGACTATATTGAAAATATTGCCGAAAAATATGTATTAGAGATTTATCCAAAACGAAATGATATTGTAATGAAATTAGCTTGTTATACTGGTTTAGTCAAGATCTTAACATTTCTTGGAAGTTTATTCGTACTAATTGTAAATGGATTGCAATGGATTTTAAAGACAAATAATCGATCAGTATTACAAAGTCAAAAAGAAAAATTAACATAAAATTTCATCTAATAAATTCGGATCATTTATAAGGTTTTATTTACTGAAATTCGATACCGTAGATTTGCTGATGAAAACTGTAAAGGAATATGGTATCGATCCCGTTTGTAAACCATCGTTGAGGCTGGTAATCTGCTACGTATAAGCAAAATAAAAAAAAATTAGGAGTATTTCGCGAAAGATTTCTATTTCGTCCTTTGACATTACTAATGTTTCACACAATATTTTCGTTGAGGGAGAATCATGTTGTGAAAATATTGAACATACAATGTTTCAGAGAATAGGACATTCCAGTAAAAATTATAGTAAACTCTATAACGCTCAATTTTTTGTATCTTTACTAATTATATTTCGATTTTTAAGATATAGCGTGAAACATATCTTCCTTCTGCAGGTGTTTCGATTTGAAAATCTACTCCCAAAATTAGCAGCAACAGCAGCGACAACTGAATAAATCTTTTGACAATAAAAATTGTACAAGTAAAAACTAACACGATCGAATGTTTTCACTGATACGGATTGCGAAAAAGCTTTAAAAATACAATATTGACACTGAGTACCTCTGCGCGTGCTAAGCCGTTGTTACGAAGAAAGAAAAAAAAGACAGATTATTGGCATTGGTTGCATCTCAACTACCACTGAAAGCTATTTCACAAATAACATAAATCATGTGTGGACCCAGCTTTATTTTGCATAAGGTAACGGATATTTTCATCAAAGATGCGTTATTTTGAAATATTACATTTGAAGAGTTTAAACTGAACCGATTTCTTTCTGATTTCTAATTTCAACACTCGAATAATTCTTGACTTTTGCATTGTAAAAGGTTTCTGTCACGCACTAGATTACGATCTCTTTAGTTTAGCATATTAGTTCATGTACTAACATGTTGAAATCGAAATTAATACTTTTTAACAATACGATAGAAATCCTACCATTTGTTAAAATTTTTTGAATTATTTTAGAAATCAATTCTTATTAAGCTAGCAATTATTCTGGCTATGGCTTCTGTTGAAGCAACATATCAATATAGTGAAGAAACCATTCGTAGTATCCATGGATCAGACGAGAAAACTCTAATTGTTCTGGCAGCACCGTCGGTTAACAACAATTATTATCGAGCTATATTCAACCAAATTATCGATTATATGGCTAATTTTGCATATCTTGTTCAAGGTAAAGACGAAATCGTCATTCTAGCAGATGCTGCAACGTTACCATTTTTCAATGGAAAAGTGAATGAAAATATTCTTATCGAAGCCGATATAGAAGATATCTGGATCCGTGACTTTTCTCCTGTTATTCCGTCCCAGCAGATTAAATTTCGATACCTGCCAAATTACCTTAGTAAATCTGTCGCAAATGCGATAGATAAAAGCTTTGAGAAATGGCTCTCAAAAAATAATTTGAATTACAAAGCGAAGTCAAGTATCATTCTTGACGGTGGCAATGTCGTCGATAATCCTGATGGTTCACGAGTCATTATCACCGATCGAATACTAAAGGATAATCCTCAATTGACTAAAGCGGAGGCAAAAGAACAGTTAAAAGATCTTATGAATCTTCGCGAGGTAGCCATCATTCCAGAGGCCCCCGATGACACAACGGGACATTCAGATGGGATGCTGATGTGGGTCAGCAATGATAAGATTCTTTTGCCACAAGCTTCTGAACCAGAAAGAACGCAGGTTATTGACGAACTCAACCGATCTTTTCCAGATGTCGATATTGTCGAAATACCTGATTATTACGAATATGCTAGTTGGAAAGGTTTTACATCTGCTTGTAATGTATTTATCAATGCCGTCGTAACTGATCACTACATTTACATGCCGACATTTGATGGACCTCATGATAAATCAATGTTCAATTTAATTCAATCTCATACGACTAAAACTGTCGTAGCTGTGCCAGCTGAGAAAGTTTGCTTCATGGGTGGCAGCGTTCGTTGTCTTAGTTGGCAAGTCAAAGGAGAGTTGAAAAATCAGATTTTACAATTAACCGGAAGTGACTAAAATGATGTACTACAGTACATAATATGAACTAATCTATTTCTATCATTTAAAATCTCATACTTATCTTACTTATAACTTAACTAAGTGCAAAAAATATTTAATAAAAACAAATGAATCATTATCATTTACAATAATACTCGACCGCATTAATATTTAGACATTCATAGAAAGATCTTTCTATATGAAGACATAGGATTCTGATTTCAATGAACTGAAAAACGTTTCGTTGACTGATAACATCTTAAAATATAAGTTGAGTAGGATTTCTTGAAATATCTAGGGATGAGGCTAGCTATTATTATCGACTTCGATCTTGTTAAACAATCTTCTTACATGACTTCAAAAGCATAATCTAATCCTCTTCAACTGTTGCTGACTCGACGTTTATTAGGCATCTTTATAATATATTACCACATAATAATCACAAAAGAACACGCAATTAAAAAAGATTTACACTCAAGTACAACACCGACAACTTTCGCTCTGCATGTTTTATGTCCCTCCAATGATTGATACACACCCACAGACCACTATTCTTCTACGCTGAAAAAAAAGGTGCCAAACAGAGCCTTCGAGGTTTCGTGGAGCTATACTATACTTTTTAGGTATTCGTGAAGTTATATGAAATCTGTAACAGGTTCAGAAAAATGCAAGGTTTTGTAATATTCTTTTAAGAGTTTCGAAATTTAAAAAGGTTTCGTTGTGAACTCTTTCGAATTTGTGATTTACAATAGGTTTCGTCATAAACCCTTTTGAGTTTTGCATTCCAAAAGGTTTGTTAAAATACCTCGTGAAGAGAACGTATTCGTGACATATCGTAAAAAAAGCGATCTCTCTCGACATTGCATATACCAGAACAACTACATGACTAATGATACAATCAGCTGGCGCTTTCACAATTTCATTCAATCGGTTTTGATCAAATCCCATCGACAAACATCTGAACTCCTCCTGGCAATTTTTTTATTACACTCATCGCTAACTGCTTTCTCTCATCGGATTCCAGCGGTTATGATAAAGAACGTGCAACATATTTATTGGTTGTCTTTTATCGGAGTATGATTACCGCAATGCTTTATTTTTTGTTAGGATTATTCTTTTGTTCTACATTGAAATAATTAATTAATTTAGATCAAATCTTCGATCCAGTAGTTACTATATTTCAATTATTGCCAGAAAAACAATTGCTGAATCTATAACAAGAACTCTTTGATGTGCGTATCCTATTGCATTTTTTGTTCACATCTCATTCATTTCTTTATTTAGTGTTGATTCAAGTTTTGAAGTATGACTATAGAATTTGCACGTACATCATATCACACTTGAACTATACTTTTTCGTATTGAAGGTTAGTTACCATAAGCATTAATAAATTCATTTTTCTTTTATTTAGATTCTCGGGAGAATTGTACTGTAGGTAAGTTATTATTATAAACGATAAATTCGTTCATCTACTATTTTAGTTCCTTCAGAACTCGATGATCAGTAATTTAGGATGAGAAGTAAAAGTTTATTTTTTGTTTCTATTAAGACTTGCCTTGAATTACATTATTTAGTTCGTTAAGAATTCAATTATTGGATACGTTACTATTAAAAATAATCAATTCGTTTCTTTTCCATTCAGGTTGTATGAGCAATTCTATAAGAGGTGAGTTGCCATTAGAATTAATCAATTAATTAATTCTCTATTTAGGTTCATGAAGAATGCTATCGTTCGGGGGGGTACTAGTATAATTAGTATATTCGAATATTTGCTATTTAGGTTCTTGACAGCAGTGGTATTATTTTCATTAACGTATTAAAAGAATCAATCATTTTTTCATAAAGCTCAGGCAAAATAATAATATCCTTTGTGCGTGTGAGTGCTATTCTAAAAAGAATTATCTGTATTGACTTGCTCTCGGTTTATAGGGTGGATAGTTTAGTTGTTCCCATGAGAAGGAGCTGAAAAACTCTTATCTTTTCGGTTTCGATGAGAGAATATAAGTGCTACGACAGTGGACGTTGTGTCGTATAGTGCAATAGATGACAATCAGAATAGTGGTGATAGAGTCGTGAGAAGATATGTTAAACAGATTGAGATCGCCAGTGCTTTTGTTGTTGAGAGAGCTGCGAAAACAGAGATTTATGCATGAGTCTTGTATTGAATAGTGGTGCAAACTGCTTTAGTAGTAGAGTATATTATTCAGCGAAACCTTTGTCCAATACTGCGTAGCGTATTTTATGATACGTGAAGAACGAAACTTTTTTTATGCGGGATAAAATTATTGTCTTTTACGAAGCCTACTTTCCACGAAACCTAAAAGGGTTTCGATTTCGTTTAAAAAATCGGAAGCTTTTTGGATTTCGTATGGCATCTTTTTTGTTTTCAGTATATTGATGCACTAATTATACAAACACATGAGTGATGGTCTCATATTTTTGCCGTGAATAGTAATTCATTTCCTCTGATAGAATATTTGTCGAAATGAAATGTTGTCAGAGCTAGTTATGTAGCGGATTTTTCAATAGAGAAATCATTAAAAAGATCAAATGTGCGACTGAAAAATAAACTTTTATCGATCAATTTTTGGACCCTTAAACATCTTCAGACATGTTTGAGTTTTAGAGCAATGAATCTTTTTCTACACACAATCGTTCTGCCAAAAATACTGATTATTATAGTTTAATAATAGCAGCAGCTCACAGTTTTTACAATTAGTAAACAACTCTACAAGATTGTAAAAGTAGTCTTGTGCAACAAATTGTAGTGAAATACACTCAAAATCGAATATTATATTATTTTCTCAAAAAAAGCACACATTACTCATTATCACTGTAAAAAATCACTATTTAATGCTGGATAAAGATATATTCATTTCGAAAGCTAATTGTTAAAACTTAGGCAACGAAGCTTTTCTTTACGTGGGCAAGCTAATGTACACTCATTTACATCCTCATCCTACACTCTAAAACACAAACCTACGCCCAAGAGGAAAACCTTTAGGGTTTTGCATGGGTGTGCTGAACTTAAAAGCGTTTAACAGACCATGACCTAATCTTTTTTAGGTTCAGTTGATAGATACAAAACCTATTATTTTGGACTGTAGCGTATATGAGCAGTCCTAAGTGGCTCCCCGCTCACATCCTCCTTCAGGTTTAGTCAGAGGTACAACATGGATGACAGCCCAGGTCAAATACATACGGCGTGAAGCAGTCTGATCCGGTGATTTTCCATCGAATTCCGGAAGCAGCATTCCGAAAAGTTTTCCGATCTCCATTTCCAGGATATTTTCCGCTAACTCCTGGTTCCGGAACCGATAAGCGGATACGATTTCCGTCTACAACAGGATTTTGTGCTACGTTGCCGATGGTTTCCATTTACAGCAGGATTTCGGAGTACTTTTCCGATCGTTTCCTTTTGGTGATCGGAAACGAAGGAATATGAATAGGTTCCGGTCTAGATACGTAGCCAGGATCTAGCCGTTTTTAATCCAGGTATGGAGTCCGGATTGCGCCGTTCTAACAACCGGATTCGGTGAATAAAAACTATTCGATGTTTCCTTTTTCTAATTGAAAAGAATTTGTGAATTTCAATGATAAGTACACATTTCTTATTTGAAGTACGAATCTGCAGAATTTCTGCTTAGAGTTGAATTGAAACCGACTTTCCAAAAAGCATCACAGAATATCAAGTAAACAACATTTTTCGATTGAAATGAACAGATAAACGCATTTAACTGAATCTTATTGTCGATTCTGTCACATAAAATCTTTACGATATATTGTTAATCTAACTAATTTTGATTAATATTACATATAACCTAACGTAATACCAATTACTTTTGACATAAGCCCCATTAAAATTGGATTACCACCATGGAATACAAATAGAATGAGCAGTGTAATTGGCTATATCTTTGTATGTGTTTACTCTATCTGATACTAAGATGGTTAGTAAAGCAGTTAAAATTTTATTTTTATTTTCTCACTTTATGTGTGTAGCATTTGAGTATTTTTAAACAATAGCTATCAGCAATTTATAAAATCTAGAGCGAATGGCAGCATTTTTTACATCGAAATAATTGTTCATATCTTTGATATTTGTGATCTAAATTGATAACAGTTTATAATAGTTTGAGGTACACTGTAAAAAAAAAGGGCAGAATAATGAACGCTTCCCCTTGGTTTTTTTTCTATAAACCCTTGAAGGGTTTAAGCGCATGTCATACACCCTATGAAGGGTATATAAACCGAAGGGTTTGTTATCGTAAGGGTATATGAAACTGTTTTATGGGGTTTTTATTTCATAATTTTATTCAAAGTGTTTATTAATAAACGGATAGGTGTAGATTAAAATACGTATTTCCAAAATCAGTTTATTATCCAACAATCAGGGGTAGATTATTATACGTTTCATGCAGAACAAATATTATTCTACGAATAGGGGTTGATTATTCTCCACTTTCTGAAGAAGCATTTATTATAATACCGCTGAGGGTAGATCAATGTACGATGGCACAAAAAGGGTTGATTATTCTCCACTTTCAGAAAAAGCGTTTACTATAATACCGTTGATGGCAGACCAGTAGAGCGATGTCATCAAAAGGGTTGATTATTCTACGATCAAGGGTTGACTATTCTACATTCTCGGCAGAAGCGTTTAACAGAATACCAATGAGGGTAGATTATTCTCCATTTTCAGAAAAAGCGTTTACTATAATACCGTTGATGGCAGACCAGTAGGCGACGTCATCAAAAGGATTGATTATTCTACGACCAACCGTTGATTGTTCTTCACTTTCTGAAAAAGCGTTTATTATAATATCATTGAGGGTATGCCAATATACGAGGTCATCAAAATGGTTTATTATTCTACGATCAATGGTTGATTATTCTCCATTTTCAGTGGAAGCGTTTATCATAATACCTGTGAGGGTTCATTATTATATGATAGAGGGTAGACTGGTGTACACTATATACTCTAAAAAAAAATCGGTACTTTACTGAACCCCTAAAAA